ATTTCCGCTTTCTCTTTGTACTTCCTTTCCTTTATCCTCAAGGATCTCTCTTTATCTTCTACCCTGCGTTTTTGTTCTTCTGTAATTGCTTGTGTCCGCTCTCGTCACAAATCCGGTCTCTCGTTCTCTGTGAGAATCACTTAAGATCTCATTCACGTCTTCGTCCTTCTAACCCAAACACTCTTTTATTAAACCTGTGCATCTTCACAGATAAAGTCCTGATAAACTTTGTTATGTGTATTAAATGAATGCACATAACTTATGGACAGTTGTTTACTGTACATACATTTACAGTTGAAGTTCTGTATCGAAAAAAAAAAAATCTTAAAATAATTTTGACCTTTAAATGGTTATTAAAAATTAAAAACTGCTTTTAATTTAGCTGAAATAAAAACAAATAAGACTTTCTCTAGAGGAAAAAATATTATCAGACATTGTGAAAATGTCCTTCCTCTGAAAAACATAATTTAGTTTAAATATTTAAAAAAGAAAAAAAATTCAAAGGGGGCTAATAATTCTGACCTCAACTTTATATACAAACCATCAAGTGTTCGTTTACACACTTACTAAGAATTCTGGCTGCTCTGCTTGTATGTTGTACCAAAACATTACCACAGAATTCTTGTTTTATTGGAAATGCATTTCAGCCTGAGATCATGTAAAGGTGGTGAGATTCTCTGAAAGATTATGGAGCAACAAAATGCCATTGAGCTGTGATATAATACAGATCCTTGGGAGAGTATTATAGGGTGACATTCACTCCTACACAACTGAGCACATGCTGTTCCCCGCTAAACACACATATAAACATACACACAAGCGTAAATACACTTGAGAGCTCACAGATGCAAAAAAAAAATGTCTCTGTTTAGTCTAAGAACATTCTGTGCTTTTTGCTTATTTGCTCCAATATGACTATTGTATAGAACATTTAAAAGCTAATGCGTCATTATTAATGGTATGAAACATGTTTGTCAGATTGAGCTGTGTCTTAAAAATTAACTTAATGTGTTGTTTAATAAATATACTGGATATAGACATGAGTCTTCATAGCACATGGCAGCCTTATAGGGTCATTTTAATGCTGCTTAGACAAAATAAAACAGTCTGAAATGAACGAATGCAGTTGACGATGCAAATCAACAGTGTGTTTTACTTTGGGAATATTTAATTTTATTGATTCTCCAGTTACACTTTAAAACTTCATGGTCATTTTCTGGAAATATTTGTTTATGAAAATGATAAATGTATGTTATATATTAGTGGTTATTAATATGTTAATAATCATTAATATATAGGTTATTCATATATAATTGAATATTTTAATCATATTACTATAAATGTTAGTAAGTTATATTATTATTATTATTAATATTAATAATAATAATAATTAAAGCTGCAAGCAGTGATGAAAAAGACCTCGCACCCACGCTCACTACCCCCCGGTGGCTTTAGTATAACAGAAAACAGTAGACAATAAAAATTAAAGCTGGGCTGGGCGATATGACAAAAATTCAATTTCAATTAGTTATTTTTATATTGAACAGTACAATTTATATTTCAATATCAGTTGTTAATGCTTCCATATTTAAAGAGTACCCCAACAACGACTGAAACCACAAAAATAAGAGGGTCCATTACATAGCATAACTTATTTTTGTGGCCGTTAATTTTCGGTGGCTGAATTCAGTGCATCTCTAATAACAGCACACTTTAAAATTCCCATTGGTACACATTTGTGATGTGTGATTGGCTCTTAGATCAATAAACAATAAAAAACTAATGAGCTTATTATTGTTATCGACATAAATTTGGTATCATATCGGTTATCGGCCCAGCACTAAAGCTGATAAATATGCAAAAACCAACACAATCTCATGGCAATTCGTAACTTTTTGATTTAGTGGCTAACTCGCATGAATAAATTCGATCTAATTTGTACAATTTAGTTTGATTTGCTCATCCCCCAATTATGGTTGGGGTTAGGGGTGGGGTTAGGTGCCACACCTTCTTTTTTAAATCTTACATTTTCGTACGACTGAACTCGTACAAATTCGTATGAATTAGCCAATAAACTGTTAAAACGTAAAATACTTACGTCTCCTCATGAGACCAGGCTAAAAAAAAACCTGAGAAAACCACAGCTTTATGCCAAACTTCCTTCTGTAAGCAGGTGGCTGTCTTCAGCAGAGGAATCTCATCAAACCTGTGAATTTTCAGGCAGATGAGACAGTGTGAGACATTGTGTGGCGGACACGCCCTTTGATGAATTTCACATCACAAAGGCTTATAGATTATACTGATTGAATTTGCATTTGATCAGATAAAATTTCTAGGAAGTTTAAGGTAAAATATGTATTTTCCTGTTGCCAGAAGGTGACGCTACAACTGACCCTCAATATTGGCATTTCAACGTGTTCAGGTCAGGACTCTTATCAAAAGTTTGGATTTTGAGGCACATCCGACAATGCATGCCTACGTTTTTAAGGCCCACACAGACATGCCCTTTGACAAAAATTCTAGATCTTCACGATTTAACATCGCCGAGCCATCCGGATGACAATACCCGATTTTGGTGTTGATCTGAAAAAATCACTAGGAAGTGTTTAATAAAGAAGGCCTAGAAATGGCAAATACTTTGTTAATAATATCTGGCTTCCTGTCGAATTTTGGATTTCTCTCCAGGAGACTGTTTTGTAGGTTTTGGCATGTTTGATGTGTGTGGCAATTTTTGCAAGTGTGCGTAAAATGTTTATTGTGGTGAACTTGAACTTGATTGTTTATAGGTGGCGCCGTCGAGCCCTTTAGCCACACTCACTTCTGAAATGCATATCAAGTGTAAATTTTCGTAAATTTTGGGTGTGTGCACAAATTTTGTGAGTGTTTGTGCATGTTTAGACCCTCAAAAATGCGATTCATTCTGGAATGAAATAATAATACGAAAAAACAAAGCAATTTCATTAGGGCCTAAACACCAGTGCTCAGTCCCTAATAATATTGTTATTATCACTGAAACTAAGTGATATGCCTCGGAGAAACTATTAATGTATGTCTTTTTATATAACTACATATTAGGAAATGTGACAGTGTAACAGAACACTCTCGCAAATAAAGATACAAATTCTGTTACTGGGACGGTCCTTTGTCAGTCATTCATTAATTTATTTTCTTTTTGGCTTAGTCCCTTTATTAATCTGGTGAGCGGAATGAACCGCCAACTTATCCAGCATATGTTTTATGCAGCGGATGTCCTTTCAGCAGCAACCCATCTCTGGGACACATCTTTATTCACAACGGACAATTTAGCCTACCCAATTCACCTGTACCGCATGTCTTTAGACTGTGGGGGAAACCGGAGCACCCAGAGTAAACCCACGCAAACGCAGGGAGAACATGCAAACTCCACACAGAAACGCCAACTGACCCAGCCGAGGCTCAAACCAGCGACCTTCTTTTTGTGAGGCGACAGCACTACCTACTGTGCCACTGCATAGCCTGTTCCTTTGTCAAAAAGTACAATTTTGCATTTTAAAGGGTCAATATTGGTACCATATAGGTACATGTTAATACCTAAAAATCTAATAAGGAGCACTGTTTTTTTTACTGTACTAATACGCACTTTAAGTTTTTTTTTTACCTTTTTAGGTACAAAATGTCTCTTGTTTAATTCTAAAAGTATATTGAACAAACATCATTCTGTGAAAGCATGTTATTTTAATTTTAAAAAGGAAAACATAGCAGAAATCATGTTCCTGTTTATAGCACATATGAAAATTAAATCAGTCTCTAAGTATTAAATAGAGCTGTTTAAGCTGTTCCTGATTGAACCTGTAATGGGGTATATGCACACTGACTTTTATTTCAGTCAGCCAGTCTCAGGATTTCTGATGATTTCTGGTCATCCCATTCAAAATCGCCTCATTTAAGATCTGATTTAAAAAAAAAAAAAAAAAAGATCATCACTGCCCGGCTGAGATATGAAATAAAAGGAGTCTCAGACAGAACAAAAAGCGCAGCATTAAATTAATTTTTTCCATGCCATGTCTTTAAAATATGGAAATTAATTATACCCCAGTATTTTCAATGGAGTTTTTGCGCTAGCCTTCTTCTAATGACAGTGCCAGTGTTTAAATGGTCTTTCGTCTCTTTTTATGCTTTAACAACTAAATGGACGCTGAAGTCTATTACCTGGTTGTATTTGAATCACATTTGCTGTAAAAGGAACAGTATGAAATTAAAAATAATCACATTAAGCTTTCACTGGAAGTTCATCTTTGGCTGAAAAACACAGAATAGCCCATTAATACAATAAAAATAAATGTAAAATAAAAGTCAAATGTGTAAAATAATTTTTATTATAATAATAGTATTAATAATAATAATATTATATCCATAACAAATCACATAGGTGAAAGAAGAAAAATGGTTTTCAAGCAGCAAATCAATAAAAGTGTAATACAGTTTCCTACTTTTCTGTAAAAACATGTAATTCATTTAATTTCCCTCCACATTTTAACCATGACTTACAGAAATAAAATGCCATTCGGCATAACAATAACCAAAAAACCAAAAATCTTATCAGACGTACAGTTGAAGTCAGAATTATTAGCCCTCCTGTTTATTTTTACCCCCAATTTCTGTTTAAAGAATAGTTTTCAACACATTTCTGAAAATAATATTTTACTTGATATTTATCAAGACACTTCTACACATCTTACAGTGACATTTAAAGGCTTAACTTGGTTAATTAGGTTAACTTTAGGGTAATTAGGCAAGTCATTGTGTAATAAAGGTTTGTTCTGTAGACTATATAAGATATAGCTTAAAGATGCTAATAATATTGACCTTAAAATGTTTTTTTTAAATATTAAAGCTGCTTTTATTCTAGCCAAACTAAAACATTCTCCAGAAGAAAAAAATTATCAGACATACCGTGAAAATTTCCTTGCTCTATTAAACATAATTTAGGATATTTTTAAAAAGAAAGAAAAATCAAAGGGGTTTAATAATTCTGACTATAACTTTATTTACATTATCTAATCATTTGATTACATTTGAAGACTCTCTGACACAATCTATCAGATGTAATTAATTCTCACACTGTATTAACTGCACATAAGGTTATAACCAGGCTATTACTTGAGCATATTTAAGATGACTGGGCATGTCTGCCACAAGCGCTTGGAAATATGTGACGTCACTCGCAGTAAGGTAATTCCACAACGCTGTGACGCAACTGCCCTTATTAGGACAGATTCGTCATACAACCGATTATAAGCTAATACTAGGCCAGCGAATGCCTGTTGCTCCACTGGCTGAAAAGTGCATGGGCGGAACGGCAATTTCAACACCGAGTAATAAAGCGTAGCCATGATAAATCCCTGCAAGTAGCTTTGGCTTTTCTCTCAAAATATCCGTCAACATATGGAGGAAAATACCGTTTAACGTGGATATACATTTGGTATGGAGATTTCTGAACGAACCTGCTTCTCTGAAGGCGAAATATCCAATTCCATCAGGTGAGCATATTTAGACATAATCAGAAGTACATAATAAATGTGCATTATTTTCATTGTATAACCAACCGTGCAAACGCGATAATTTTCATGACATCTCTTTTGCTTTTGCCTCTGTTTCAGCCAGGTCGAAATGCAGAGATCCAAAAGCCCTTTTATCGCCACGGTCAATGCAGTCGCGTCGCGGCAGGAGCTGCGGTGGATCATCGAGCCGGTGATGCAGAGTGAGAGCCTGGACCACAGCAAAGGAGATGCACAGGTAAAATACGCACAATATAACACAGTATATAGTGGCGTTTTACTATTATTTAGGGTTGATTTTTTTTCGAAGTAATTTATGTAAAGATTGATATTTTTTTTATAAACGACTTCATAAACAATATGCTGTTTTGTCAACAAATATTGCAGTATTACATTGGATAAAATTGTTATAACAATGACATTATTCATTCATTTTCTTTTCGGCTTAGTCCCTTTATTAATCTGGGGTGACCACAGTAGAATGAACCGCCAACATATCCAGCATATGTTTTACACAGCAGATGCCCTTACATCTGCAACCCATCTTTGGAAAACACCCATACACACTCATGCACTACGGACAATTTACCTAATTCACATGTAAAAAAAATGTTGTCTGCAAAACTGTTGCAAACAATCTATTTGTGTTAAATTTAAAGAAATAAATTTAATTAAATAAAATTCTTCTTAATTTGTTTGTTTAAATTCTGTCCAAATAAATTGTTACAGCCACTAAACATAAAAAAATTTAATAAATCCAAGGAATCATTACTGAATAATTTTTTTCAGTGATGCCTTTGGACTGTGGGGGAAACCAGAGCACAAGGAGGAAACCCACTTGAACGCAGAGAGAACATGACAGTGACTTTAAATAAACTCAATTTTCTGAAGATGTAAATAAACTAAAAGATTATTGTAATACATTTTTGCAGGAAAATATTTTTTAGACGTTCCACATTCTTCATTATGGGCAACTGCGCTAGATGGCCACTATATCCCTGCAGAATGGAGCTCTAATTCTAATAAAACACAACTGCCTGTAGCTTTCTAGTGATCTTGAAGACATTGGGTGCATCTCAATCAGCTCCCTAACTCTAGAGTAGGCCCAGACAGAATCTGCAGACATTTTTAGCTATTTCTACGCAGAATTTTGTAAAAAATAAATTAATTAAAAAATTAAAGCAAAGCAAACCCTTTTGGATCCACTTATTTGGCATATATGAAGCAGGTCTCTTACAGGCCCGTAGCCAGGGGAGGGGTATGGTTCGAAAGACTCACCTCTCACTGACAAAGGCCCAGAGTTTGTCGCATACACAAGCTCATTTGTGCTGTTTTGACTGCTATACTATAATAACTTATGAAAATAACTATCGAAGAACATTTTAAGACCAAGCAGAATTCTCTTTTGGCTGTCGCTTCAGTGTGACTGAGGAAAGTTGAATGTGCTGGCCAGTTTGAGTTTGACTAATAATTGACAATAGGCTAGTTTTTAATTTAAAACTTGAACAGCATAATTTTTCCCTATAATGATATAGGTAATACATTTTGTATTTGAAAACTAAGTATTATTTTCTTATTTGTTTATTTCTAAATCTTTAAGAAATGTTATTGGTACATAAAAAAATGTGGTTGATGACCATCTGACAAGCTAATCTGGCAAAGAATAGTGCTTAAAAAGTATTCAAACCTCATATTAGATAGAAAACGAGGCTAATATCTGCAAAAAGGTCCATATTTTATTAAAAAAAAAGAACCACCAAGCTAACTACGGGCCTATACAATCTACCAAAAGACAGAAAATATTGCTTTACAAACTGTATGGTAAATAAATAATATGAACATTTTCATATTTGTTAATAATATTACTGAAATCAATTTAAAAACAAGTTTTTATACATATTTACACAAGTAAATAAACATACTCTGCGAAAATCTGCATATTTCTGCTTGTGCAGATTCCATTTGAGCCTACCCAAGAGATAGTAGATCAATAATAACCACATAATAAATAATAAAAATACATAATACATAATAAACCACATTAGAACTAATATCTTTCATATATTAGTTAGTGGTTGTCAATAATTTAATAACCCTTAATATTTAATAACTATTGTAATAGGTTATTCATATGAATTTTAGTAAGTTTTGATTATTTTTATTAGTAGTAATAATTCATTCATTCATTTTCTTTTCGGCTTAGTCCCTTCATTAATCTGGGGTTGCCACAGCGGAATGAACCGCCAACTAATCCAGCATTTGTTTTACCCAGCCGCAACACGTCACTGGGAAACACAAACACACTCATTCACACAATCACTCATACACTACAGTCAATTTTAGCATACCCATGTCTTTGGACTGTTGGGGAAACCGGAGCAGACACAGGGAGAACACGCAGACTCCACACAGAAATGCCAACTGACCCAGCTGAGGCTAGAACCAGCAACCTTCTTGCTGTGAGCTGAACGGGCTACCCACTGCACCACCGCATCACCCCAGTAATAATCCTCATGAGCTGCCTCAATCCAAGTAATGCGTCCTCATTGTACAACAGCAAAACTGGAGATAATAAACAACATCAGAACTAGAATCTTTCATATAATTTTAAGAATAGGGCACTAAAGCTAAATCATTAGATTGTTATACCAGCTACATTTCAAGCATTGAAATTGACATTTCATTGCATTAAACAATTATAAATGTTTGCTGGATTGTTTTTAACTTGTGCAGCTATTTTCTTCATGTGAAATATATACAAATAAATGTTTCTTTAAAAAAAAAAAATCTCTAGTTTGTCATTATAATTGATGATTGGTTAAAGCGATTCATGTTTCTCACTTCCGAACTTCTGTTTCAGGAATCTCTGATTTTCACAGTGCATTGTGGAACTTTTCAAGAAGCAAACATATCCGTGCACTTAAGAATTTTACGACTGAGACAAATAAATAATAAATAGCATATCAAATGGCTGACTAGCTGATCAGTGCCCTGAGTACTGAACGAGGGAACTGATTGAGACACACCCATTGATTAGCTTGTTCAAGTGTTGTTGCTTACTGTGCGTTCACAACGAAGGCGGGGAGAGTATCAAAGTTCGCACTGGATGCCCTGGCGACAACGTTGTCTGCCTTCACATCTCCAGCGACGAGAGCATCAAAATTAGCTACATTAATCTTGTATTGAGGGGCCATGGCAACATATCAGCAAATCACTTACATTCTCGCATAAAAAAACTTGTGTGTGGTGTGGCATTGCTCCACTTACCCAATATGTTTCCATATGTCTGAAACACTCTAAAGCAGCAATACTGTTTTGTACTGTCATTATAGTTAGCTCAAGCTTCCTGTTATAACAGCTTGCTTTTCCACGGCAAAACACAATGGTTTGTCAGGTTACCACAAACCCGCCTTTCGACAAAAACTACATCCTGATTGTTTGCCGCCGAACCGCATCATAGCTCATTACCATAAAGATGACTTGATTTTAACTCTCCTTGATACCCACACCAGCGTGGAGGTGTCATACCACGTCAACTCTTACTGCCTTCGGTGAAAACGAACAGTTAGGGTCTGGGCAAATCTACACTGAACAATGGCTGAAGTTGTCCGTCTCTGTTCTTCATGGTCAGCAACAAATCTGAGCTACTACAGTATAAGCTATGGCTTTAAAATTACGGGTGTTAAGACACCCAATCCGCTTGTTAAGTGGTGATGTGTTTGTGACGTATGTAATACTGTTTCCGGATCCAAGCCGCCATTCATTTGAGTGGAGAAATCATTCGTTTATGATCGCGTTTTATTCCTATCACACATTAAAGTTAATTTTACATAAAGTCATAGTGTACACAACAATCTCTGGGCTTGCTGCATAACAAATACCAAAATTTTAACAATTTATAAAACAATGAATCACTTTCTGGCCATCAGATATTAGGCATGGACATATATATTTCGATCGTGACTTTCGAAAGTATTAAATCGCTTTGTAAACGTTTATTATTACCATTTCATGAATCTCCCCATTCAGTTGAATAGAGCGCTTGGACCCGGAAGCCACTCCGCGTGACGTCACACTTAACAAGCGGATGTGTGCCAAAAAAGTCTTCATCCCACCATTACACCACCAGCAGCTAGAACTTCTGACAAAGCAGGATGGACTCTATACCATCTAAATATTGCGGCAGAAATCAAGACTTATCAGACTTTTCCCAATCTTCTACTGTCAAATTTTGGCGAGTCTGTGTGAACTGTAGCCTCAGTTTGCAGTTTTTATCTAACAGTCCATAACCCGATGTGCTCTTCAAGGTTACATCTGTTTTGTGTTCAGATATGCTCTATTGCAGACCTTTGTTGTAAGTGGTTAACTGACTAATTGTTGCCTTTGTATCAGCTTAACCAATCTGACCAATCACCTCTAAACTCTGACATCAAAAAAGGCATTTTCGCCCACAAAACTGCTGCTCACTGGATATTATATCTTATATCCAACCATTCTCTGTATCCTAATGATGGTTGCATCAATCCCAGTCTATCAGCATTTTAAAAAAAATATAAAATCAGCATGTTATATGCCAACAACCAAGCCATATTCAGTCACCTTTTTTCCTTGGTTTGACGTTCAGCAGATCTTCTAGACCCCATCTATGTACATGCTTAAATGTATTGAGTTGCTGCCATATCATTAGTTAGAGTGTCTAAAAATATAGTGATGTTGATGTATTGCTTACTGCATTATCAGCTCAGTCTGGATGAAGAGGAAAAGAGGAGACGGAGAAGAGAGCGAAACAAGATGGCTGCTGCCAAATGCCGCAACCGCAGAAAAGAGCTTACTGACCTTCTTCAGGAGGTGCCAGTTTTTCCATTTACTTTGGGTGTTGACTATTTATGACAGCACATCTTGTATGTCCAGTTTTACTCAAGACTTTTTTAAGAATGACATATGATGAATGAATCACTCAGGTAAAATGAATGCTTTCATAGTTTCAAACAAAACAAGAACTCAACTGGATAATCTAGCATTGTGCTCTGTTTCAGGCAATCTGGTAACGTTGCGTAATTAGCAGCAGAACATGCCAATGAGAACCAGATGTGTGTTTGTTTTCAGGAAAGCGAGCGGCTGTACATGGAGCAGGTCGGGCTGCAGAAGCAGGTGAGCAGCCTGCAACAGGAGAAGGAGCAGCTAAAAATGCTGCTAGCATCGCATGCGTCCATCTGCACACTGGACAAATCTATTTCCTTAGACAACTTTCAGTCGAAAGACATCTTACCATCCAGAACTGCAGTCACAATAAAACAGGAGCCTCTGGATGGCATAAGTATGTCAAGACATTTTGGACTCCAGCAAGCAGTGGAACTGACAGAGGAAGGCCCTAATTTACACTAAAGGCTGGTTTAAACTTGAGAGATCACCATGACCCACAGCGCATGACTTGAGCGTAGTCGTGCATTTATACTTCTGCTTTCTTTTTGTGCTGCAATAACACCTCTGAAACACTAGCTGGCTGCAGGTTTTTTATGTTGCTCTGTGTCGAGTTTCTTTACGAGTTTCTTTTACTTTTCTGAACGCTACTTTAATGTACAAGTAGCTAAAACTGACTTATTATGAGGTGGGAACCGGCGGACGTGCAACAACTTTAATAATTAGGTAAACACAAAATAAAAGTTTCCAAATGAAGCTCCTTCTTGGGACTAGACACTAGTAAACACTTGATCCAATGGGTTTGTTGATTGGGTTTGTGAAGCTCTCAGCCCCACCCACACACATCAGTGTAATAAAGCCGAACGATCCCAGAGCTTGCGCTACGGGTCTCACAACTAAAGTTACATTTTATGAGAGATGTGCACCAGCATCGGCGTCAGCCACAATGAGGGGTATGCAAACATGTGAAGCCTGTGACGGACCATACACATGCGCTCAACGCAAAAGTATAAATCAGCTTTGAGGTGCCACTGGTTTACGCTGGTGTGCTTTATTTTGAAATGGTGTTTTAGATTTAAAATGTTTCCCTTCCAGGAAATGAGAACAGAATATTGTGGAAAGTTTTAAAAAGATGTTTTTTCAGCCGGTCTACATTGAAACAGAACACCAGCATTTATAAATAAAAACATTTTTTTTTGGCATTTTTGTAATGCTACATTTTTGTAGCGTTGAAGATGCCTGAGTAGTGTGTATGCAACCCAGGCTCATTCTAGAAACGTAGCCCCGCGGACGTTTCTGGAGACTGTGAAATACGTCCCGGGAGGTACGTATTTGTGCAGTTTTTGTTTTCGCGAATCCGTGAAAGGCCCCTGTGCACGCTTCTTCGCATCTTAAATGCCTCTCGCGAGCGTGCGGCATTCACGCTCGCGCTGTTCTCGTGCAAAGCCACCAGAGGCCGCTGTCGAGCGACTGTCTGTCCGACTGACTGACTGAATGATTGACTGGGCGGCCGGCCAATCGGCCGACCCACCCTCCTCCTCCTTCCCTAAAACCAAGCAACGATTTACAAAATCGTCCAGAAAAAGAAAAGCCCTCGTCTGATTTTTACTGCGTTTTCTGATATCACCACATCCTTGCCATGAACTCGTTTGCTTTATTTTTTGGATTCTATATTTGCCTTACCTGATTTCTGAAACCGCTCTTCCCTGGACTCGAACCTGATCATCGTCGCAGCAGTCAGCTCCCCTCCAGGTCTGCGCTCCACAGACCTGCACGACGAGCTAACCGGACAAACTGGTTGCAACTGGAAAGTGCTCCACACGGAGGTGAGCTGTCAGCCAGTGAGTGCGAAGAGGTGCAGCGTCAAACCATCCTGTAGCGTTCGCTTGAAAAAATTTATTGCAGCCATACGTATCTCCGGTCATGTAAATCGCAGCCTCCAAAAACATCCGCCAGGCTACTTTTTCAGAATGAGTCTGGGTTGTGTGGATGCCACATATAAAAATAACAAAACTTGCACGTTTTAAAATAAATATACATTAGCATAAATGCCATCTGTAAGGAATCACACACTGGACGCTACACAAAGCTTCTTTTAAAATTTTATACAATGTGTTTCTATGAGGTAACACATATGGGAGGCACCATTTTGCATCTGTTTGCATTGCTTACCAGGCAAGGCAAGTTTATTTATATAGCACATTTCATACATAATAATTCAAAGTGCTTTACATAAACAAAAATAAAAGGAACAAGAAAAAAAGATTAAAACAGTTTAAAATGATTAAAAATAGATAAAAATGTTTTAAAGGAATGAAAAAGCAAAGAAACACAATAATACGATTTGTTGGACGTAGCACAGTGCCCATTCAGTAAAGGCACAGCTAAACAGATGTGTTTTCAGTCTGGATTTGAATGTAACTAATATTGGAGCACATCTGATTATTTCTGAAAGCTGATTCCAGCAGCAGGGGGAGCAGTAGCTGAAGGTTGATTTACCCTGTTTTGAATGAGCTCTTGGAATTTCTCATTTATTTGATCCTAATGTTTGGAGGGATCTGTTAGGTTTGTATTGAATTGAATTGTATTGACATATAGAAAACAATGTAAATATGAGCCATAGTGCGGCGCAGCACGGCGTGTCTGGTGTGCGACCCACTTAAGAATGTTTATCTGTAAAAAGAAAACTCTTTTCTGCATTTGAGACATTAGCCCCTTTCACACATACAGACCTTTCCGGAAAATTGCCGGCAATTTTCCGGAAAGGTTGTATGTGTGAACAGGTCCTTTTTGAAAATACCGGTAAATTCGTTCTGGCTATTTTCCGGAAAGAGAAGTTGTAACATTACCGGCAATTTGCCGGAATGCTGCGCTGTGTGAATGCAGAAGGAAGATTCCCGTAATAAGCGCGTGCACGTCTAGAACGTGCTGACGTGAGATGTCTGCTTTAGCCAATCACAACAGTCAGACGCATTTACGTCCGTGCGGTTTGTGAGGATAAAAGCCTTTGAATATTTTTCCAGACACATTTAGCTGCTAGAAGTTAGTCAGATCACGTTTATATGTTCTTCTTAATGCCAACTGTGTAAATAATCATCGATGAGATGCTTATGATAAGCCGTTGTTTGTTTACCTTCAAGCTTTGCGTGCGCCTATGAGCGCCGCACACGCACATATTATGAACATCTTGACATGCGAAAGTGATCCTGCGAAAGTTGTTCACAATATTGATCATCCACAGAGTTTGTAATTTAGTCAAATGTTTACAAATACAAGCGCAGCCGTTTAAAGCTCATTTGTGGTGAATGATGTCAGAATTTACCGGTATTTTGGAATGGATGTGTGAATGCTCTTTTCCGGAAAATTTCCGTAACGTCCTTGCCTGTGTGAACAGCGCTTTTTTCAATATACCGGTAAAGTCGTTCCGGAAATTTTCCAGAAATTTACCGGTATCACTGTGTGAAAGGGGCTATTATCTAAACAACATTTTGGGGATCTGAAGTTTGAAAATGTGTTTCAAAATGCAACTAGCATCATTTACATCTTTCAAGCTACTAAAATTGTGTGAAATCATGTGTATTACATGTGTATTACATACTATATGCAAAATCCTGAAGTTGATAACTATAACAACTACAGAACTGAATGTGCGATGGTGTGTAAGGTTTCTTTACAAAGTGCCATCGCCACCTACTGGCCTGGCATGCATAAAACTTAAATTCAGTCATTTTCACAGATCTGTGTAAATGGGAATCGTCGTCACAAATGTTCCCATTTTAAAAGTACTGTACATTGTTGTCGTGTAAACTTACCCTGAGTGTGGTGAAGAAGATACACTGGTGCTTTCAGTGTCTTATATTTACAGTGTCTCTGTAAATACCTCGTTACTATTACACAAAAGTCACTCTGTGTCAAACTTTTCCAGTGGTAAGCAACTACTTCTGCTGCTTTATGATAATAATATTTCCTTTTTTGTCTTGTGCAATACAATAAAGTTACTATGTCTATATTAAAATGTATTTGTCTTTGAAACAGCGATGATATTTTGTAAAAGTTATTGTTAAATATTTGTATTTTGAACTGTGGCCAGACTCTAAATGTAAAAATACAAAACAAGGGCTTGACAATAAGAACAACCAAATGCTTACTATATTGAACATGAGTTGCCAAGGCTGTGTTATCCATTTGTCTTAAGAGTTAATGATTTGTGATAGTTAAAAATGGTATGAAAATTACGTTCAACGCAATGTCTTGTCATTTTCAAGTCAAGGTGCGTATGTTCTATCTAGATTTTTCATAATAAATAATGTAAAGATCAAGAGAAATGTATATCTGTTTTAACATGTTTGAATTATAAACTGAACTATAATAATTTATTAAATCTATCACAGAAATATAAACTTTGTGTTGAGTAAATTATTGTCTGAGTTGTTCTTTTATGTTTTAGAGTTATGTGTGTCATAGGGTTGTGCCGATAGACGATAGGCAAAGATATCGCCAAGAGCTTAAACCTATGACGATTTTAAAGATGATATTTAGCTCGTTTCGCATTAATGTAGTTCTATTGCATGTTTTAAGTGCATTATTGAATAAAATGAATAGTATTATTTTTAAACATCTTCATTAATAATAAACTAACTACAAAAAACACAACAGCTTCAGCTGTTCACATCAACACCACCTGACCGATAATTTATTATTAAATAAATAATTTTTAAAAATCAACCGAAAGGTTATTAAATATCTTTACATATGGTTAAATATAATAATCAAATATTATATGCATAAACATAACACTGCCACGCCCCGATGCGATAGTATCGTGTATCGGCGATCTCACAGGGGGAAGATATGACTAGTGTGTCAGCAAGTTTTAAACAGAAGCTAAAAAACTTTTAAGGTGCAGCTTAGGTTCTACACTTATATTCAAAACTATTAGCCCCCTTGAAATATTTAGTCTCCGTTTATTTTTTTCTCCGATTTCTGTTTAACGGAGAGAAGATTTTTTTTTCAACACATTTCTAAATTTAATAGTTTTAATAGCTAAAAATAATTTCTAGTAACTGATTTATTTTATCTTTGTCATGATGACAGTAAATAATATTTGACTAGATATTCTTAAGACACTTCTATACAGCTTAAAGTGATGTTTAAGGGTTTAACTAGGTTAATTAGGTTAACTAGGCAGGTTAGGGTAATTAGGCAAGTTATTGTAAACAAAATATAGCTTAAAGGGGCTAAAAAATTTGTCCTTAAAATGGTGATTAAAAAATTAAAAACTGCTTTTTTTCAAGCTGAAATAAAATAAATAAGACTTACTCCAGAAGAAAAAAATATTATCAGACATACTGTGAAAATTTTCTTGTTCTGTCATAATTTGGGAAATATTTAAAAAAAGAAAAAAAATCTAAGGTGGGGTTATTATTCTGACGTTAACTGTTTATAACTATTATAATAATGTGGTCTGAAAACATAATAATTTATTGTATTACATAAAGATAGTTGCAAATTATTTTTCATTATTATAATGTATTTATTTTTACAGAAAAGAGATGTTTCAGGACAAGTTAAAAAAATAAATAAATCAGACATGTTTTACTCACCCTCATGTTATTCCAAATTTGTATGACTTTCTTTATTCTGCTAAAGCCGTTGAAGAATGGAGAAAAAAGTTTGTCTGTATAATGAAAGTCAATGGGGGCCAAATTAGACCCATTCACTAAAAAAAAAGAAAATTAGGTTTTTAAAACATATCTGATTCACAGTACAGAAGAAAGATAATCATATCCGTAATATTTTCCCATTCATGGGTGTACTATCACTTTAAGCACGACAGCTTAAACTTACACGTACTGTAACAAGATTCAACATGCCACAAGGCTATTTTGACATCTCCGCAGGAGTGGCATTGCTCAGGCATGCATGGAGAGCCCCTCGTTCCCATCCCGTTACAAAAGGAGGAGGATTTCCACTCCGCTGTGGGCATGAGTTCCTGTTTGGGATCTGGGAACCTGACTTTCAATTCACAGAGTCCTGCACCTTTTCTATTTAAAGGTCACAGGATATTGTGAAAAAAAATCCCCGAACTTGTTATAGGTTTCTTCAGGTGTGAAGGGTCTGGTGTTTATATGGAAAAGAAACTTTGAGCTGCATTTCTTTTAAAATCAGATACGGTTACGCAAACAGTACATCTCCTACTATATAAAGTAGGTCTATCTTACTCAGTAAGAAGAAAGGAAACAATTTCAGCATCTTTATATTAACCCTAATATCCTTATTACTCATTTAATAATCAATGTGAGGGAAAAAAAAGGAATTAACTGAGGGCAGGTTTACACAATAGGGCTACTAAAAATGTAAAGAATAATTAACATTTGTGTAAAGCTTTTAAGACATTATAAAAACTTGAAGATTTTTAAAAATGATTAAAAACTATATTATGAAACGCAAGCAATTTACATCTCTCCACACATACTGTATGTTTCTGCAGTCTGCAATTGTTATTTTGGTTTTCAAAAACTCTGGATTGACTATAAACTGAACCTGTAATTTACATGTGCATGTCATCGTTTTCACTAAATGATGTTTAAGCACTTGCAATATTAAATTTTATTTAATATTGCATTTATTATATATATATATATATATATATATATATATATATATATATATATATATATATATATATATATATATATACATACATAAATAAAAGTGTAAATAATTTAAGATGAAGACAAAATATTTTAAACATTGCTATTAGTAAAACTTACTTTAAATGTCTGAACATTTGTTTAACTGATTTCATACTTAAACAAGCTAGCAAGCAAAAACACATCAACAACACCTAAAAGTAATTACATGACTAAAAGTGAGATAGAAACTGAGAAACGTTATCTTTGTAATATGTATTTAAGTGTTTGTTTTGTAACCAAATGAATCTATTAAAACAAAAAAAAAGTACATCTTAAAAACATTAAAAGACCGGCACTTAAAGAAAACCTCAAAAACCGTTGCCTTTAGCAAAACACAGAAGAGAGGGCAGAGACACTCCTCGGGTACACACCTACAGGCGTGGCTCCGGATTACACTTCCTCCTCATCCGCATCATTACGTTTAAGTAACACATCACCAGAAACTTGGGAGTGTGGAGTGTGTGTTACTTCTTGTGTTATTGAACACAAGGAAGGAATTACTTCAGTATTATGGCAGATAAAGGACCTATTTTGACATCAGTCATAATTTTCTACTTGTCCATTGGAGCTGCGATATTCCAAATCCTCGAGGAGCCGAATTTAAATTCAGCTGTGGACGATTATAAAAATAAAACTAACAATTTATTGAAGAAATATCCCTGCCTAAGTAAAGAGGTCTTGGGCGAAATTATTGAGGTAAGTTGTGTTTCATTTGTGTTTTGGGAAAACTAACGTTAACATTTTATAAACATTTATAGGAACTCCTGGAAAAGTTATTTAGTGTTATTAATACTAATTTACGGTTGCTATGGTAGTTCTCACGCAAAAGCGGATATCTGGGAAGTTTAGTCCGAAATTAACGTGAGTTAAGAAAGTGTTTTAAAAAAAATTAAAACTCCTTTTACCTGTTTTTGTCACACTTTCACTCTCTTGCGCTCAAAGAACCATCCTCGTTCGAAACATAATCGATAGCCTGCGAAACAAAGCGAAACTTGTCCTGAACGTGTCAAATCTCTGGAGATGATGGGTGTTCGGGAACCTAAATTAAAAAAGACTGAGGGTCGATTGTTCCATGTTTGTGGACTTTTCCCCCATGGGCAATAAAAGTGGCGAAGTCATTCTTAGGAATGTGCTTTTGCCAGTTGTACATTGTGCACTCATTTAAACACGACCGCGAGAACGCGCGCGCACACGTGCTTGATGAATCGAGTATGAAAACAAAACAAGCTTGTACGTCTTGTTGGTTACTAAGTTCTTAAGTGCTAATTACCTTCAAGATCTATCATTTCTAAACTAGAACCCCCGAATAAGGAATGCCTCAATAAATGTTTAAGCTTAAGCATGACGTAAAATGTCGTGCCTTTCATTTAAACTTTAACAAACGGTTCTTTCATAGAAACCTCATGCTGGTTCAGTTAATCATTAACTCAATTCTGACACATTTAACTGGCTTATTGTGTATTTTTGTGTAGTATCAACATCTTAATCGCGCATTTGAAACATAACTAATGTTTACAATGTACACAAACGTAATGCGAGCACCTTATTTCACCAGAAGATATAAGAAACTATATGATAGGGGACCAAGCACTGAACCAGAGAGATTAGCTATAGAATCAATTTATACATTGAAAAGCAGACTGCAGGTACTATGCAGTAAATGGATGTGTATTCTTAATCCTAGTTTTATAATCCCACCTAAAGTCAGCGACACACATTATACTAGCCTATGTTCTGCTGCAAGAAACGCTGATGACAGACCCTAAAATTTGTCCATTTTCACTTTTAGACTTTATAAATATGTTAATAACAAATGGCAAAGATGTTGGGATCTGCAGACAAGAAATAAAATCCAATAAAATTTAGTCCCAATGTTAAAAAGCAGTCTTGGCACAAGTTTCTTTTTTACCCACTTTAGAAACAGTCACACTAGAATGACTGGCAAATTGTAATACTTGTAGGAGATCATCTCATGGGTTCTCTTTACAAAAGCACTTTAACTATCAAGCAAGTTTTATTAGATTGTATCTGCTTTCAATCTTTAAGGAAATTATTTTATTTAGTTAATTTCAATCTATTTGCAGTAAAAACTTAAAACATGAATTCACATGTGAAGTATATATTAACAGTATATTAAAACATCTGATTATATTTTCCAGAATAACTGACCACAGAGTTAAGGGATTAGGAAAAAATCAATCTGTAAACGTGTTTTGTACTTTAAATGAGGAAAATAAAAATGGGTATGAGTGTGACCAAAAAGTATGCCAGTTTACAGTTTACAACACACTTTGTAGAAGTTTTGTGAATTAAACTGCAAAACCCAAAAGAAACGATTCTAATCAAAAGGAAAAGAGTTGGCTCACTATAGAACAAACTTTTTTAAAATTTTATTTAATATTTTTGCATTTATGAGTAAAAAGTGTCATTACTGATGTGATACCTCTTTGTTATGAATGTGACCGATGTGAAATTGCCACTTGTGTGACTTTGGTAAACCAAATGTAATAGTTGAAAACACTGACAGCTATTTTTGAGTATTTTTAAAGTACTGTAAAATACTTGCTTACACAAAAAAATTTCCAAATTTTGGTGAAAACCTTTTTTTTCATGGCAAGATTGACATTTGTATGGAATTGCTCCTATGAAGAAATATTTAACACTGTTAATCCCAATAGTTTTGTAGTTTTTAGCAAAAAATTAATGGTAAAACTTTATTCAATCTATAACTGCTGTAATCCTATTCATACCTTTCAAAATGGCCATAAGCTGGCATGGCATTGATAACAAACATTACGCCATGTTGTTTTATATCGATCACTGCTTTTGATACAGTAGGCCCATTTTGTTTACTAATATTACACCAATAATGCTTTAATTTTGTACATTGTGCACTTTGCTGTATACCGATTTTATATTTAGAGCCTCTTCAAGGAGTTTACCCCCCACCCCCCTAAAAAAAAAAAATTTCTGGTGAAAACCTAATAATTTTTTGCAAAATGTTTGCATCTGGTTCCCAGGTACAAATAGGTTACCACTTCCCAAGATTTTTCATAATAACTTCCTTTTGTGCGCAACAGAAAAGAAAAGTGCAAGTATACGACATGCATATGAACTTTATTCTTAGGTTTGGTTGAACTAACCCTTTAAGTTTGATTTGAAATGTATGGCATCTTTCAAAACTGAATTAGCTGATTGTTTATTGTCACAATACAGGCGAGGCGATTGCAAAAAATGTCGAATCATATAGCCATTGCAAAAGCAATCAAACTTGAGTTTATTGGAGTGATGCAACATGATATTGCAAGAAAACCAGTTATTCAGGTTTGTCTTCGAGAGAGGGGAAAAAACCCTGCTACTTGTTACAATTATTACATTTCTGGTTTCATATTCTTAAATCATGTATTTTGTTTTTCACAAATCCCATAAAAAGTCACAATTCTAAAATATAAACCCAGAATTTGTTTATCTTTTGCAAACTTCTTTTTTTAGAACTCTAATACAAGGAAACAAAATGTTTTTATTTTTAGTTATTTAAGGAGAAAAGAAAAGTGCATTCTTAATGTAGTTTCAGAGACATATTGAAAATAAAACTCCTCCACATTCAGTTTAAGTTGGGTGTGTTTGTTTAGTCACTAATTTGGGCATTTAAATAGCTGTGTTTACGGTCTGCGGAGATACAGTATGCACACTGCAGCCATGCTGACTCTAACTAGCCTACATTAAGACAAGGGTTTATTTTGCTGATATCTCCAAAAACTCTAAACATTCTTCCTCTTTTCCTGTTGTTCTGGCTGTCTGATCTATTGAAGCCTGTTTCCGTCTTTCAGTTTAAAAGTAAAGTAATCGTGAGATGAGGTGTAAAGTAAAATTGCAGTTTTAAGTGGAAAAAACATACAAACGTTGTGTTTGAGTTTTAAAAATGACAACAACATGGAAAAGTTTCAATAATTTTGGTTTATCTGGCATCTGACTGCCTTAAAAGTCTTTTCCCCAAAATAGTGCACTGTAAAAAGTGATTAGTTCACAACTTTTAAAGGAAAACTTAACTTTTTTTTTTTTTTTTTTTTTTTACACATTTTAAAAAACCCCTAGAATTTTTAACTTGAGCTTTTACCAATTTGGAATCCATTCAGCCGATCTTTATTTAGCATAGTTTAGCATAAATCATTAAATCAGGCTAGGTAGCAGAGGTGTAATCTTATTGTGGATGCTCAAAGTGAGTCTAGTAAAAAAGTGGAGTGTTTCTTTAAACTACGAGTAAACCAGCTGCTTCAAACCTATTTGTTGACTTTTTAAATAAAAAATGAGTAATTCATTCCCTTAGTTATGAAGTAAATAACTATGCATAATTATAAAAATGAAGTCAACTTAACATTCCAAGTTACAACAGGTTTACTCACTTTAAGTAAAGTCAACTTGACGCTCTTAAGGCAATGACTTTAGTCCCTTTCTAAAGTAAAGAATGTAATCTCTTTGAGAATTAGTCTTTCCTCCTTGTAGTATTCATGCAGACATTGTGTATTTGTCATCTAGTGCCATGTGCTAAAATGTGAACAATTGCCATTTATAGTTGCATATTACAGTTAATTATTTGTTTTATGTTTCAACAACAGGTAGTGGCGGAGGCGACTGGACAAGGTGTGACTGTAACAAAAGAAGCACAATTCAACAATTGGAATTGGGAGAATGCTGTTATTTTTGCTGCTACAGTCATCACTACTATAGGTATGTTTTCCATAGAGGTGTTCTTTTTTGTTGCAAGATAGAAAGTGAAATATTTCAAAGTCATGTGTAATATAATATATCAAGAAAGGTTATTATGGTGTTGCAGTTGCAGTAGTTTTTATTTTGACAGTGTTTTTGTTATTTGCTGGTAAATTCAGTTTAGTTTTATTTGTGTGAGATAAAAACACTTCTGTTTTAGTTATTCTAGTTTAGTAGAGTTAAAGGGCCATGACACCCCCCACTTTTGGTTCAGGTCTACCTCAGAACTTTTTCAAAAGATGCATCATAATGGGCGTGGAGCTCTGCAAGCAAAGCGCAGGAGTGGGCGTGGCCAGCAGGGGAGAAGGAGGGGAGGGAACAACTGTTGTCAGTTAGCTCACAAAATGAGACGTGAACCGTGAGGAGATGCATGATTTTATAGTATACAAAGTTAAAATGCAAAGAAATAAACAGTGATTTAAAGCATTGCTACATTTGTTACTTGTAATTTCACATACACACAACCACAATTCATATCATTATAAAGATAATCATGTTCATATAAACACTATAAACGAGGACCTTTCCCTCAATCCCCGGGTCTGAATCATAGATCTGGATGCAGACTCAGTGCAGCAGGTCTCTTGCCCTGTCTATTTTAACCATTAGCCCTGCTGGTATTCTAGAGGGTTTAGGCCAGGGGTCGGCAACCCAAAATGTTGAAAGAGCCATACTGGACCAAAAAAAACAAAAACAAATATGTCTGGAGCCGCAAAAAATTAAAAGCCTTATATAAGCCTTATAATGAAGGCAACACATGCTGTATGTATTTATATTAGCTATATTAGCCTACTATAAAAATGATTTAGTTGGCTACAAATACATACTGAGCCTTCATGATTAAATGCTTTTTTTTTTCCCTGCAGTGCATCCTGTAGAGAATGACGCACCACGTGACTACTCTGTTGTACGATGCCGTCTCAAGTTTAACTTAATTATAATATTAATGCATTATGTTTAATGTTCGAGTTTAACTTAATTACAATATTAATGAATTATGTTTAATGTTAAAGTTTAACTTCATTACAATATTAATGAATTATGTTTAATGTTAAAGTTTAACTTCATTACAATATCAATGAATTATGTTTAATGTTCAAGTTTAACTTCATTACAATATTAATGCATCATGTTTTGCTTTGATGAAATTAAAGAAATGCAGTAAAGAAATCATATTTTTGATGTTTTTTAACGTGCCCCTTACTGGGAATGTGCTCAACAAGGAAGGGTCAATCTCCAAGGGTGTGTGTCAAGGAAAGACAGTCTCGTTTTTTCCTTTCGCTACTCGCAAAATCTGCTCCCAAATGCAGTTTGCATATCAACGATCGCACCTTGTAAATAATCACCGTTGAGTGAGGGATCGGGATGGGCTTCTTTGAATTCTCTCAGGGAGGGAAAATGAGAGAGCGTGCCCCGCTGTACATCTTTGGCAAAGACAGCTTACGCTCCATGGCGCATCACACAGCCGCCGGATTGTTTACAACAGCCACCTGCCTATTCCGTGTGTCGCAGGCTATGATGCAAATCTTCGTTGACAGAAATGTTGAAAATAAATATTCTACACACTTTTACAGCATTAGAAAACGTTAAGATTGTTTGTCCTCCTATAGAAACCATATTAAAACAAAAATATATTTACCTCCCCCATCTTTTTCCGTTTTCAAACATATTTTGAAAAAGCTCCAGGGAGCCACTGGGGCAGCGCTAAAGAGCCGCATGCGGCTCTAGAGTCGTGGGTTGCCGACCCCTGGTTTAGGCAAACACAGCAGCACTGCAATGTGTCTAAATGTGAACGAACTCCTGATAAAAGACAACATCCGCCATTCTCCAATTCTCATACTGCTCTCCCGACAAAAATGCTTGCTGCACACAAACAGCTTTGCTGTATCGGCCCTGACAGATACAGATGCACATGCAACAAACCCCATGGATCATGAAAACAAACACATACAATCTTTCATGAACCGCTAAATACTGTGTGCCATGGTTCCGTGTCGCACAGCTTAGCACTGGCAGGTCTGTGTCTTGCCTTAGGAAAGCACGTGCTCTCATGAATAATTAAGAAGCCGGCTCTTCTCAGAGGATAAGAAAACTCCGCTATGAATAATAATGAGAAACCGACGTGTCATCTCTGCACTTGCAGTTTTGCGCCACGTCTCCGATTTTGATCCTGTCTCAAAAATCTTTTTAAACCCGGAAGCTGAAATTATCCAGTTTTTCCCACAATTAAAGCTGACAGGTGCGAACATTGTCCTAACTGATGCTCAACACACACAAATCTCAAAAAAAGTACTTGAGGGTTTCGTGAACCTTTAACAAACATTTCTAGTGTCAACCAAGGCAAAGTTTAGTGTTTGCAAAGCTCACATTTAAAAGTGGCATCTAAAGAAATGTCACAGACTTGCAAAGGTCAGTTTTCCACCACAGAACGAGTGCTTAATAACAATTCTGAAATTGATAATTCGAATTGTTAGTTTAGTTTCAGTATTCCTTTTTATTTATCTTTTTTCCTTTTTAATGTTTAACTTTTTTTTTCAGTTAATTTGGGCTGCATTTACCCTAAAGATCTTGATGGTCAATTCCGATTTCGTGACTGTTTCTGTTTTTTATTTTATTTAATTATCTTTTTTTTTATGACTTTCTTACATCATCTTTTAAAGGTGACTCATATCCGATTGTCTGCATTTACATAGCACACAGCAAAGGTGCAATGTGCAGGAAAAAAAAGAGTGGCCGTTAACTGACAGCTGATAATAAAAGAGCACTCTTTTTTCATTACTGTGTCCTCAATCTGTTCGCATTTTTTAGTTGTTTTGCTATAGTTTATAGCAGAAGAGTTCTTATTTCGCCTTCTTATTTTAATCTAGGCCTTTTTAAACCAGTATGCAACTTAATGTAATGAAATATCCATGGTGTGATTTCTGTTCGTGGTGTATGCAATAGTTTTAGTTTATATTGGTTACGTGGCTCTCCCTCTCGCTCTCTCTTGTTACCATGCTTAAATACTTGTGCTACATGACAATATAAAGGCTTTTTTAGCCTTCATGTATAAGATTTAAGGTTTGGGAATCTGCTGAAGTCTGTACTGAAATGAAAGCGTCAGACTTGATGTCATTCGCTAGGGTTTTTAATGACACGTGACTTGAATTGACAGGTGGAAATCTGATCTACCTGCTTACACTGCAGACATGAGGGCACATCTGATTCATATCAGATAAATTTCCACGTATGAATTGGAAACATGAATTCCATGTGTGTGTTTTTTTTTTTTTTTTTCCCTGTTTACACGTACGTGGGCCATATCTGATCGGTGCCAGATGAGAGAAAAAAAAATCGGAATTGAGTCACTTGAAAATTAACTGCAGTGTAAATGCAGCCTAGTCTTTATTTTAATTTCTTTAATAGAATAACCTTGATAGCAGATAACCCAATCGGCAAGTAAACTTTATTTACAAGCAATTAACTGTGGTATTAATAATGTCACTGTTGAAGTTGTCTCACTTCTACTTGTACAACTTCCTAAAATTCTAACTTTATTAATAAAGGGTTAGGTTTGAGACACCCTATTGTTATAATTGTCTTTAACTGACTGTTTTGTAACTATTATTATTATTATTCTGTCACCTGTCATCCACATTTAATGCAGAGAAATCTGCTCACATGATTGCATTGTATGTATTTAACAGTTAATATATTATATTTTTATAATATATTTATTGTTTATATTATATGTATTATGTATTTTTAATCACTTTTTGTGTTTATTTCTAATCAAACCATCATGCAACTGGGTTCCTTTAGGATGCTCACTTCATGCTGTATTTTGTGGCACATTAATTTTAAGAGCAAATATTACTCATTACAGATAATTTGCAAATTGAGACACAGCAGATATTTTCCTGCAAGCCCCTTTTCAGCTTAGGATAAAATGGAAAATTGCTAATTTTGCTTAATTTTCTGTTTATTTATTGGTATAACCTACAACGCCATACTGTTAGATTACAATTTAAATATATTTTATTAATATAATTTCTTTATATATTTAGTTAATTCTAACTTTATTTCTTGTGATTTTTTACTTGTTTATATGCTTGCTTACTCACAAAGTTGACCTCTTTTTTCCAATCCTGACTTTATTTCTTGCAGTTCTGATTGTATATTTGTTAGTTCTCATTTTTTTTGCAGTGCTGACTTGATTTATCAGACTTGCAAGTTTGAAACAGAAATTTAAGCTTACATGACGGAAACAAGCTTCTGTAGTTTACTAATAAATGGCTCTGATATGGTTAACAAATATTTACGAATCAAGTTTTTAAAGTCAATGACTAACTTTACATAATGATGTTGATTTGTCTGTGAAAATGTTACAAAATCATTTATTTTCAGGTAAATGAGGGTTTGGTCCCACTCTATATTAAGTGGCCTTAACTACAATGTACTTGCATCAAAAATGCCTATATTCAATGTACTTACTGTGGTCATAATGTATTGCAGAACACTTATGGTATTCGAGGTGGGATACAGTTAGGGTTAGGGACCGGTTTAGTGATATAAGTAGGTTTAAGGGTGGGTTAAGGTGTGTTGGATGGTCAAAAGTGTAATTACATCTGTAATTACAAGCCAGTATTTAATCAAGCATTAGTACAATGGAAAAGCATGCGGTTACACAATAAGTGCATTGTAACAAATTATTAGTTTCAGTGTAAGTACATTACATTAGTTAAGGCCACGTAATATAAAGTGGGGCTTAAGATTTTATTAAATAATTCATATATTATTATTATTTTAATAGTAATAGATTTTCTAATTTTTTACTCTTATGATTTCAGGTTATGGTAATGTTGCTCCAAAGACAACTGGAGGTCGTTTATTCTGTATCCTCTATGGTCTCTGTGGCATTCCTCTGTGCCTCACCTGGATAAGTGAGCTGGGTACATTTTTTGGCAGCAGGACAAAGCGTCTAAGTCAGTTGCTCCTCCACAGTGGCCTCAATGTGGTAAGAATATCATTAAGATCAGCTGCTTCACCCTTGTAAAGATGAAAAAGCATTTTTTAAAACATTGTTCTCATTTTCTCTTCTTTGACAGAGAAAAGTTCAGTTCATCTGCACAATTGTGTTCCTTTTATGGGGCTTCTTGGTTCACTTAATCATCCCAGCCTTTGTGTTCATGTTCTTTGAGAATTGGACTTACTTAGAAGGCCTGTACTTCTCCTTCACCACCCTGACGACTGTCGGTTTTGGTGACTATGTGGCAGGTAACTTTAAAATTGCCAAATGGATTTTTACATTTGTGCTGGGAAGAACGGGGGATTTGACACATTTAAATGAAAACACTAAAAGTACTTTTATGCATTCAGCAACAGGACATAAAAACAAAACACATTTAATCATAGGTCTTAAACTCGATTCCTGAAGGGCCGCAGCTCTGCAGTTTTCTTCAACCCTAATCAAACACAGCTGATCCGACTAATCAAGGTGTTCAAGACTAGATTATGAAGCAGGTGTGAGTTGGAGGTGGTTGGAACTAAACTACGCAGAGCTGTGGCTCTCCAAGAATTGAGATTGAGACCATTGCATTTAATCGTCTGTGCAATTTTTTAATGTAGTTTCATAAACTTGTTTTTCTGCAGCCCAGATTCAAGGTGCAGTAGGTGATCTGGCAAAATGCTAAATGCTTAGCATATTATCTTTGGATGGCGGGGAGGGACTGTGATTCAAAGCCACGCCTCCAGAAATTGCAAACATGCGCACCGTGTCACAACAGCAGACAACCCACTAGTTCATGTCATTCGCCAGTTAGTTAGTGTTTGGCCGGTGATGTACAGGAATTACATTTATTACTTAGCCACACTTACATGCGATTTCAGAGCAAATATTTGGGGTAGCATGGTAAACAGTATAGAATATAAAAGCAACTTCAGCTCAATGAAGCAGGCTAGGCGGAATAGCGCTGATGTTTTGTAGTTAAACTAAATATAAATCTACATTATCGATGCTGTCCGAAAAGTCCCTTATAAAACTGAAAATAGTCGCAACAATCTTTTCTCTGGGAGATTTCAGTGGCTGAACAACACGTCTGGCATACAAGTCATTCATAACACAACTCAATCTAACATAAGCTTAGCCTGACTAAAATAGTTTTAAAACAGAACATTAGCTGTCTAACAGTAATACTTTAGCCATGGTATAGTCCTTCCTCCAGTGTGCAAAAGTAACTCCAATACTGAGTCAGGATTTTCAAAAGTATCAATTCAGCATTTGATTTCACCACGTCTGTGATTGTCTCGTGAACGAGCGGCGCTCATGCTGCCGGCCATGCGCAAATGGCGGATCGGCGTGAACAGAGATACGCAGAATCTGAATCTACATTTGCTGACAGACAGTTTAAGCTACAGATCGGAATTATGGGAGATGTTGGCCTGACAATATGTAATTGGATGAACATTTTTTAGTTTTATGTACGGTGGCCAGGAAGTGCAAATTAAAACAACATTACAAAATGTGAAACACTTTTAAAATACAAAGCTCAAGAAAAATTTAAATTTTGAAAAAACATTTTTACCTATCATCAGACAATTACATAGGACAACGATTTTACAAAGGACGAAAAAGTTTACGTTTTAGAAAAAAAATTAACAAGACTCAAAACGTTTACAAATCCCGAAACAAATTTACAATTACAGATTCCTTACGGAAAGGGTATGTTTCACACACCGCACCGGGAGTGACCCGGAATGTACCACACAAACTGGAAAATATCAGCTCGTGAGTGACTTTGTAGACACAGGTTTCCACGAGTCTACAACTATAAAAATCATGGTTTGAACAACTGCGATTAAAACATATTAGAGCTATTCTGTGATAATATCAGCATGAGAGTATGTAGAAACATGTAAACGCAAGTACATGGAAACAATCATAGCACGGCATTTGTTGACTGATAAAGATATCAAAACCTATCCCAAACTGTAGACCCGAGTAGATCAGATAAGACGGTTTATGCATAACCTTTTAACATGGGTTCGAATCCCCTTGATGACATGTCAATTATAATTATTTTGTTAATTTAGTTTTGGATTATACTGTTCTGCTACACAGATATTAAGAATCAATAATGTTTACGCTGACACCAAGTAATAAAAATATTTATTTGGTATGGCCATGTTTTGTTGCTGTGAAAAAGTGACGAATCTGCCAATTTGCAAATGTGAATAGTTTACATCTGGAAAGGGGCCTCAGTTAACATGCAGTTTACTGTTAAGAGTCCTTAAGCAGATGTTTACACCGTGTAAGCTTGACAACAAATCCAACATTATAGAGTACGAGTGGCCCTGGTTAAAATATTGAACACATTAATTCAGTATGTCTGGTGTTTCCGTCTGCTCCGGGTCCTTTATAAACTCCAAACACCGACCACACGTAAAGCAAAACTGCGTTAAGCTGCTCGTGTGTTTGCCACAAAACGGGCAAAATAACCCTCAACCGCAGTCCATGTTCGGTCACCATAAACTTTGTTTACACCATGTACTCCACAGCACAAATTTACCGCACTCACCAACAACAACAACTTTCCCCCACATCACTCCCGGTGTGGTACATTCCACGTCACTTCCGGTGTGTGGTACATTCCCTTTCCGTAAGGAATCTGTAATTGTAAATTTGTTTCGGGATTTGTAAGTGTTTTGCGTCTTGTTAATTTTTTTCTAAAATGTAAATTTGTTTCGTCCTTGGTAAAATTGTTTTTCCTATGTAATTGTGTCTGATGATAGGTAAAAATGTGTTTCAAAATGTAAATTTGTTTCGTCCTTGGTAAAATTGTTTTTCCTATGTAATTGTGTCTGATGATAGGTAAAAATGTGTTTCAAAATGTAAATTTGTCTCGAGCTTTGTAAAAGTGTTTCACACTTTGTAATGTTGTTTTGCATTTCCCGGCCACCGTATTTATGCCTTACCCAGAATATAAAAATACATATAAACACATTTAGATCATTTACTTTAATCATTACCATTGGACTGTGAAGAGAATTTCAACCAGCACAACCAAAAATGTTTCTGAAGACTATCACCTACTGCACCTTTAATTGGAAATAAATGCCCAGCCTACATTTTTTTTGTGAAATGTTCCAGGTTTTGTTGACCGTTTCAGATGACAAATTGACTAGAGAGAGCTGTCTAAACCTATTCAATTACAAATCATAGACACTAAGTTGTTTTGTGGTATTTATTTGGTGTTGTGCAAAGAACTGCACAAAAAGAAAGCATTATTCATTAATAATGTCACAGTAAATGTCATTGGTGTGAAAAGGATGAAAAGTGGTTGGCATCATACTGTCTCTTGTGGTTGCTTGATACTGGAATTGGGTAACAATCGATACTGAAATGTTAAAAATGTCCATTTTCTGCTAGCATTTGAGCACGTTCTTGAATACACTGGTTTGTCATTGGGTTCACATGCCTAACAGAAATGACTGTGATTGGCCGTGAAGGTCATGAGTTCACCAAACTCACCGCTGTTTACCAAGTGTAACCACAGATTCAGGGACACTGGAATGTTTTAAAGCCGCGATTCATCAGTAGATCGCTCGGATGTCCACTTATAGACAAACCACCTGATCGACTTGACTTTAAAAACACTCCAGTGTCCCTGTACCTGTGGATAACCTCAGTAAACAGCGGTGAGTTTGGTGGACTGATGACCTTCGCGGCCAGTCACAGACATTTCTGTTGAGCACGGGAACCCAATGGCAAATCAGCGGTGTTTAAGAACGTGCTTAATAGCGTTTAAATGTTAGTGAGAAATGGAAGTTTTTAAAACTTCAGTATCGATTGGTACCGGATTCAAGTATCATGACAACCCTACTGTCCCACTGCATTCCTTTTATCTAGAAGCTGCACTCAAATCTATATTGAGGTAAGTTTTTGCGATGTCATCAAAAAATGTAGGCTGAAACATGCATTTCCAGTGAGCTTGTTGCTTTTCTGAGTGCTTGTCATGCTTATTATACTTACTGTTTTCTATACAAACTATGACATTCTATTTATGTACATGAAAATGTATAGTTGACTGAACTGTCATCAAATTTAAAAGTCATTTAGAGGTCAGAAAACCTCTGCCTGCTTTTGGACCCCTGTGGAAAAGAGTTATAGTTTTAAAATACGAGTTTGATTGTCCTCTGTTAACCTGAGAGTGCAAATCTTGGGTTGCAGTCGGCTCACACGTGAATCTACTTGCAAGTGCTTGATGCATTGCTTCCTGCAATTGTGACTCTGTAAACATATGCAGCTTAAAAACAGCCTCCACGTGGTGTAAAAATAGTGCTAGATAGGCAAATCAAACTGGTTAGTCCCGTTTTGAATAAAGATAAATCACTTTGTTTCCATACAGGGGTGGACCCATCCGTAAACTACCCCACTCTCTACAGATTCTTTGTCCAGCTATGGATCTACCTGGGCCTTGCTTGGTTGTCATTGTTCTTCAGTTGGAACGTGCATATGGTGGTGGAAGCTCATAAAGTTTTAAAGAAAAGGAGGATGAGACGCCACAGGCTGCCCACCGATGACGTGCCGGAAAAAAAAGAAGTGAAAAAAACACCAAAGCCACCTCCTCGCTCTGGAGTCATTGACATCTTTGAGTTCATGTCCGAGAAGGTCGAGGACTACAGCGACGTTATCCGAGCTATCGGAGCAGACGAAAAGAGAAGGAAAAAGAAACAGGAGGAGGAACTGGCACGATCCAAGAGCTGCAGTGACCTTTTGCAAGGCCTGGTCATCCCGCTTGATCACTCTCCTCGTCTGCAACGGCGGTTCAGTGTCAGCGCCAACATGTGCATGGCCATATCTGATGAGTCTGTGGATGGCCTCAACAATAACAATTGCAAACAAGAGGATGACACACTAACTAAAGTGCGCCATAAAGACCAGAAGGTTAATCGAGAGAGAGCGGAGAATCCTGCACGTTGTGCATGGGACTCTAGATCATCTGATCCATCAATCTTTCAAAGTTCCACTGTTACCAACAGCACTAATAGAGGATCAAGATTCTCAGTGTCCAAAGTTTCAGAAGATCGTTTATTAGGGAAGAGGAAAAGCTTTGGTTGAAGGAGCTAGTGGACCAAAGCTGGACCAAAAACCAAAGCTAGTGGACCAAGACTCTCTGTGTCCAAAGTACTGGAAGAGCATTTAGAGACTGATCTGGAAGATTGTAGAACAAAACACTAATCTGGAAAGATTTCAGGAATGGTTCTACTTTTTATGAATGAGGGATGAAGATTCCCCGTGTCTAGAGTTTCAGATTTTAAACATTTTCAAATGTGACGTTCACTGATCATTTCAGAGGAGAAACCAAGACCTTGGAACATTGTTCCCATATGCAGCCAGGTGCATCCTTTTGTTAATGAAAGCTGCGAAAGCGTTCACTTGCTTTTCACAGTATCAAAAGACATTCAGGTAGCACGCAGGGCCTTGTAGCCGTCTGTGACCAAGATAAGGATATGAGGGTTGGCAGAGGAAATGATGCCGGTTTCCTTCCACGCAAGGACCTTCACAGACGTTGGACAGTTTGGGTGCGGTACTGCGGTTTTTAACCATGCTTATTTTTATTCGTTCTCTGGATTATGTTACCAAGATGAACTTTAGGCAAATGGTGGGATATTTTTGGAATTAAATTATAGCACACCTCCTGACTGTGCAGTATATACTGAACAACAGACTATTTCTGTAATGTAAGGCAACTATCAACCAAATGAGTTGCAGGAATTACGATGACTTTTAAAGCAGTTCCCCAGCAACCATATCATCCTGCACCCAAACAGTATTGGTGTTGGGAAGTCAATCAAATAGAACAATGTTCATAGTATTATATCTTCAGCAAAACTAGAAATGAAAGGTCATGTTGAGCACACTGCAGGGCAATATATCCCACATTGTGTTATTTGATTGTACTGAATGTCTTAAATGCTGTTGCAGGTCAGTGGTTTGGAAGCATTTAATCATTTGCCTTCTGTAGAAACACTTAACCAGGCTTCCAGAGAATAGCCTTTTCATGAACGAGTGGTTCGGGCGATTGTATGTTACTTGATCTTATCATTTGACTGATTACAGATTTTCTTGAGAAGTTCGTCTTGGCTTCTTTATGTATTAGTTTGAACACTTGTTTTGCCATTTTTTTTTTTTTTTATAATAAACTATTTTTTTACAGAATGTCTCAATCTGTTGTTGCCAAACCACATCCGGACGCTGACAGAAGTGATGAAATGTGACTAAAAGTACTTTTAATCTAAAAAAATATAGGTATGGGAGAATACATTTGGATGCCATTTTAAGTTTTTTTTTTTTTTTTTTTTTCTGAAACACCATAGAGACGTTAATTACTACAAAATGCTTTTGCAATCGTACATTTTATTAAATGTTATAGTGTTCAAAGATTAAAAATGAACCTGAATCAGCAATAACATCTGCATAATGCACCATTTGCTTCCACAATATGAAAACAGATGACAAAAATGTTACATTACTCAAATTTGCATCAGTTCGATTTAGACATCTGATATATATTTAGACAGTCTTCAGCAGCCCTACATGTTGTACATTTTTGCATTTAAAATGTTTCGCAACATTGCTGGTGTGATGCACTCCTTACATCTCTTCATCAAACAGAATTATGTATGTGATCTTGCGCTTTGGTCCTATATTTATGCTGAGCATTTCTCTTGATGCTTTAGCCGTTACCATGCAGTGCATATTTGTGTTTGCATAATTGCAAGTCAAGTACAAAAGCTAAACCTCAAGTAGTTTGAATGCTTATGCAACTGACAACAATGCAGTACAGTTGCAGTTATGCTCTGATGTGAATAAACAGTTGGTTCTGATGGCAGTGCCAATGGCAGTTTGTCAATGTTCTGTTAAATAGTCATAAGGCGTCTGTTCAGTTGGTCATCCATAACTCCACTTCAACACTGCAAAAAACAGCAGGTCTGCTATCCAGAGAAACACAGTCTCAACAGGTAAAAGGCACCTCCAACATGGAGGATTCCTCTGTGGTACAAATTAAGGTGCAGTCATGTTTACCCTCATGAGAAATTCTGTGGGCAGTAACTGGATAAATTAGCCTCCAAAGGGAGCATGAGCAACCAATGGACATCACATGAAAGGGGTTGTTCGAATCTGAACTGCTCAAAACTAGCCACTTAAAAGGGCTCATTTGGGAGGGGTGATGAACATTTTCCCCAAGATAACTCCCATGAGTCTTTATAGGGTTGCAGGGGACCAAAAAAACTATTGACTGGAATTCATGTCTGCGTCATGTGTCACAAATGTTATATCCACAAACAATTGTGAGTGTCTATCAATTGTACCCTTCGGAAATCTTCATTCCAAAAGAATCTTTTGAAGTGGGCAGTTTTACGCACTTTGGTTTAAAACAATTCTTCAATACGGCAGCCACAGTTGTTTATACTCTGGAGTATTCTTTAGAAAAGGGGCCACCATATTTGGTCCCGGAGCGCTGGTGTCCTGCAGCCTTTTCCTCCAACCCTAATCAAACACACCTGAACAAGATAATCAAGGTACTCATGCGACAAGTTTCACATTTTGCTGAGTTCTAAAGTTCAAGAATGGTGACCTGCGAAATTAGACCAGGGGTGTCCAAACTCGGTCCTGGAGGGACAGTGTCCTGCAAAGTTTACTTCCAACCCCAATCAGACACACCTGGGCTAGCTAATCAAGCTCCTACTAGGCTTTATAGAAACATCCCTGCAGGTGTTTTGAAACAAGTTGGAGCTTAAATCTGCAGGACACATGTCATCCAGGACCGAGTTTGGACATCCCTGCGTCAGAATGATAGAACAGGGGTGTCCAAACTAGGTCCTTGAGGGCCGGTGTCCTGCAGAGTTTAGCTCCAACTTCCTTTAACACACCTGTCTGGAAGTTTCTAGTATACCTAGAAAGAGTCTGATTAGCTGGTTCAGGTTGTGTTTAATTGCGGTTGGAACTAAAATCTGCAGGACACTGACCCCCCAGGACCGAGTTTGGACACCCCTGTGATAGAAGATCAAAACATGATCTCTCTATACAGAAATGTAAAATACACAGCAATTGCTCACTTATATCAATGTCTAATTGTTCTGTCTTTGTGCAACGCCGTATAACAGAATTTCACATGCTCAAACTTTAGTGCAGGGGTCACCAAACTCAATCCTGGAGGTCCGGTGTCCTGTAAAGATTAGTTTCAAATCCAATCAGACGTGCAGGTGTGTTGAGGCAAGTTGGAGCTAAAATCTGCAGGACACTGGCCCTCTAAGACTGAGTTTGGGCACCCCTGCTCTAGTGTGACAGCGGCATCACTAAGTAGACTTAAAATTTCCAAGCAGGTCTGTTGAGGCAAGCTGGAGCTAAACTGCATGACATCAGCCCTCCATGGCCAAGTTTGGCGACCCCTTCTTTAGAGGTAGGTTTAACCAACATTCAGGATGCAGCATTGTACCTGACATAATTCATCCCTTTAATCCCCTCAGCTGACAGTCCTCTGGTCAGATTTATGCCCTAAACTGCTAGTCCTGGAATGCTTATGAGTTTAGTACACCTTGCCTCAACCTTACTGCTTGGAAGTTTCAAATATACCTAGTGCCTTAATTAGCTTGCTTTGGATTTTGACTAGAGTGACATGGTGGCTCGGTGATTAGAACTGTCGCCGCACAGCAAGGTCACTGGTTCGAGTCTCGGCTAGGTCAATTGACATTTCTGTGTGGAGTTTGCATGTTCTCCCCATGTTTGTGTGGGTTTCCTCCGGGTGCTCCGGTTTCCACAACAGTTCAAAGACATGCAGTATAGGTTTGGATTGAATAAACTAAATTGACCGTAGTGTACCATTGTGAATGGATGTTTCCCAGTACTGCGTTGCAGCTGGATGAACATCCGTTGTGTAAAACGTGCTGGATAACTTAGCAGTTCATTCCGCTTTGGTCCCCCTGGTGAATAAAGGGACTAAGCCGAAGAAAAATTAATGAATGGTTTTTGACTGGGCTTGAAGCTAAACCCTGCCTGACACTGCCCCTGACCCCTGGCATAAGGGATGAGCCCTTCAGAATGAAACAAACTCTGGGGCTTTGAGGGTTGGAACACATAACGCTAACATTTCCCCACACTAATTAGATGTAAGATTTTAGTTTGTCAACATTTCAACACCCATATTTAATTATATACTACAATCCTTATTGTTTTAAAAGTGCTAAGCAAATTTATGGCCGCAGTATTGAGAGTGAACAAGGGATTTGTTTTGCCCTTACCTGCCCAAATTTCAGTACAGAGACTAACTTTAAACCCAGTTTTAGAATAGCCAATAGCCATTTACTCACCCTCATGCCACTCTAAATTTCAAATGACTCTGGAGTGACATGAGTCAGTAAATTAGGACACACCTTGAAACTTAGCAGTAACTCTTACTCAAATTTGTAAAACCACATTTTTAAACTGCTTCCCCTAGGAATCGATGAGTGTGTGCCAATGGCAGACTTGCTGACCCTCTGACTCCTTCATTTGAGTCCAGTGCTCCTCTTGCTCCTCTGTGGTGCTGTTGAGGCCCAGAGCGACCCAACCTACCCGCTCTCTCCTCTTCATGCTACTCCGGCGACTGTACACAGATACCTGGAGGGTGACCTCAGATAGCTGAAAAAGTGCCACCTGGAAGACAAATGTCTCTTTGTAGGTTGGGTTGGGCTGGCCACGGCAGACAGAGGTCTTACATTTAGACATCTCCTTCCCTTTGGAGTCCAGCATTGTAAGCTTCACATAAGTGTCTGATGGAAGGCGAGAGGAAAAAGTGAGTTAGCACCACCTGGTGGTGAAGATGATCTCATGCACTACCAAATGCATGTGTTACAAGCTAATACAAGAAATGTAATACTAGCTACATAACTTTTACTACATGATATTTTTAAAGTTGCAGGATTATATGATTATTTTAGTGTGCTATATTCTATCCCCACACTATAAACTCTATAACAGGGGTCACCAACCTTTATGAAACTGAGAGCTACTTCTTGGATACCGATTACACTTCTCAAATAACAAATTTGCTCAATTTACTTTTAAATATACTTCATGTTTTTGGTAATAATTAATGATATTAGACGAATGATCATGTTAATGATTTTTACAAATATTATCAACAATGATTTAACAGGGTAGGAAATACCCTGTATTTAATGTATCAATGTGCAACACTTTATTTTTATATATCTCTGCAAATTTTACATTTTTTTAATGATAACTTCTATATTAGATGAAGCTTAATGGTAAGTGGCGCTATGATGAGCTATTTTTAGAACAGGCCTGCGGGCAACACATGTTATCCCCGCAGGCACCATGTTGGTGAGCCCTGCTCTATAATAACTACAATAAGAGTAGCATAGTGAGATATTCCACCACAGAGACACTGGATTAATCATAATTTGCACAAAATGTAAACTTAATAATATTCTAGATTAAAACAAATACTTAATTAAAGCACATTGGCACATAGGTGACCCCTGACCACAAAACCAGTCAAAAGTGTTTGATATTTTAAATTGATATTTGTGCATACTGTGAAACCTAAATAAGACATGTGGCTGGGATACAACTATTTGAAACTTTGAAAGTTAAAAACCCCTTGAGAAAATCATCTTTAATATTATCCAAATTTATCCAAAATTCTTAGCAATGCTTATTACTAATCAAAATAAAATTTGGATATATTTTATGGTTGGAAATTTACAAAATGTCTTCATGGGACATGATTTTCACTTAATATTACTGTGCAACTTAAGAGGTTTTGTGGTCCAGAGTCACATACTGTATTCATAAATGCATTTTGAGCTAGCCCTGAATAATTTCATGTGCAACAAAGAGTTTCCAGAGACTTGTGATCACATTTTGTGTTGCTGAAAACTGATCAGTAAATGGCTAAGGGCTCTATTTTGACGATGCATGCGCAAAATGCTGGGCGCAAACGCATTTAGGGCGTGTCAGAATCCACTTTTGCTATTATAAGGACGGAAAAATCCGCTTTGTGTCGTGGCACATGGTCTAAAAGGGTTGAGCTTATTTTCTTAATGAGTAAACCAAGTCTCATCTCCAATTCCCTTTAAGAGCCAGTTGCGTCGCGCCATAGCGCATTTGCTATTTACATGACGGACTTTGTAAGTGGAAAAACTAAGGCGTTTCACTAGCAGGAAAACAGTTAAACAGAGCATCTGCAGTGTGAGAATGAGAGATAAGGCCTCTCATTATTTACTTTCACTTTTGCTATTGTGGATAGGGAAACTTCTTGTACGCACAGACATCAATTACCCTATAAATAATTAATTTCGTTTGTTAAGCGCAAAGACTTATTTCAAAACTATTTCTAAATTCAGTTCTAATTTCCAGCAAACGAATAAATGAACAATAATAACAAAGTGTGTTCAAAAACCTGAGTTATTTCCTAATACACATGTTGTGCCCCATATGGTCTGAAATCTGACAGGTGGACAAATCTAAGCTTGTTTTTAATAAAACAAATAAAAATATGGATATAATAAATAATACTGCTAATATTAATAACATTATACAAAAGCAAATTGTTATGAATAAACTGAAAGAGCCCCCTGAGATGAAGAAGGCATGAAAGTATGGTTTTATATTTATGTAGGCTAAAAAGTAATATGTTTCGCAATATTTTAATCCTTTATATTTATATCCTACATTTATCCTTATTATATCCCATATATCCTTAATATTTTAATTATTTTGAATTTGTAAAGATATTTACGTATTGCTCTACATCTTGTGTGTATTAAGCAGTGTGTAAGCGAGGCGCACAACTAACGCGCTCTGTGCTGGACAATAAACCGGCTTTGTTCTAGTTTATTGAAAAATCTATTATAGTTTCTCAAAATAGCAACGTGCCAGCAGTGCGCCTCAGAACGCCTTCCTTTTTTAGACCAGAACGCCTATGGGCGCACATATGAGCGCAAATGCATTTAATATTTAAACAGCGTGGTGCAAAACATCAAAACGACTCTTGCGCCAAGCTGAAACTAGCAAACAACAATTGCATCGCGCCTTGTGCCACATTGCGCCGGGTGTATGAAAGGGCCCTAAGAATAAGCAAGGTGCCAACAATCAAAATGGAATTTTAATACATGACAGTTTGATGTCAACCTTGTAGTATGCAAATAGCACCAGATGAATAACTAGTTTGTATATAAAAAATAGATTTCAACACTGGTAATTTAACCACTTTGATAAAAAAATGTCTCTAAAATTACTGTGAATTGTTAAATCCTTGAGGTCTTCTTTCCTGTCTATACTCTCTATGGTCCTATCAATTATAAGGGAGCTCTTGGAATGTGGCATGGTTGTTGGTGCCAGACAGGCTGGTCTGAGTATTTCAGAAACTGCTGATCTACTGGGATTTTCATGCACAACCATCTCTAGGGTTTACAGAAAATGGTCAGATTAAGAGAAAATATCCAGTGAGTGGCAGTTCTGTGGGCACTATTGCCTTGTTGCTGCCAGAGGTTAGAGGAGAATGGCCAGACTGGTTCGAGCTGAAAGAACAGCTACAGTAACTCAAATAACTATTCGTTACAACCGAGGTGTGCAGAAGAGCATCTCAGCACAACACGTTGAACCTTGAGGCACATGGGCTACAGCAGCAGAAGGCCACACTGGGTGCCATTCCTGTCAGCTACAACAGGAAATTGAGGCTACAATTCACACAGGCTCACCAAAATTGGACAATAGAAGATTGGAAAAACGTTGCTTGGTCTGATGAGGCTCGATTTCTGCTGCAACATTCAAATGGTAGGCTCAGAATTTGGTGTCAACATGAAAGCATGGATCCATCCTTTTCAAGTTTCTTAAATAGGGTTGAAGCTAAACCGCTAAAAGTGTTCCTCCAGGAAGTTGTCTGGACACCCCTGCTGTACATAAAAGCTTGGCCTAGAGCAAGGGCGTTCAAACAAGTTCACAAAGTGTCTGAAACCTAATTAAATCCACTTTAACCAGCTAAACTCTGCAACCCAGACAACCCAATGTAGAATACATTCTAAACAATTGTACCTGTATATATCTCTACACATCTTACTGAAATAGTACAAATAGATCTGACTGATTATACAATGGAAGTAAAATGTAGAGGACACTGAGGAAGCAAGGTAAAGAAAAAGACTCTGTTATATGGGTGGTTTTGATCTTTCGGCATGACAATAAACTTACCTCTCATGATATATAGTTGCCCACTAATGAAGTGTTTTACACAACAAAACAGGCCAACTACAGGACACCGAAAAAGGAATATGACAGAAAATAGAGTGAAAGACAAAAAGAGAGTAGTTCAAATACAAGCAGAACACAGAAAAAGGAAAGAAAACATTACGACTGCACATGCATGAAATATGTTTGCTTGTAAGAAGATTTTGCAGGTGGATGTCTTACTGGGCAGTTTATCAGAGGCAGAGTTTTTAAAATGGCTGCCTTTAATAACCTCGGCGGACAGTCTTCCTGTGGTGGAGTTGTAGAGGAGACCCAGCAGAAGCTCCGGAATGGAGGATTCACCAGTGGAGCGGCAGGATAGAGCTCCTGCACTACGAGAGACACTCACCACTGATCCGCAGCCCTGAAGAACAGAGCATAAAAGTATTACCATTTATTTAATGGTTTATGTTCGTTAAATCTATTGGCTAATAAGAAAGTACAATGCAAATATGTCCAAAATGCTCCTGAAGGGCTACTGTTCTGATTACCTACAACCCTAAGTTAACACAACTTAACTAGCTAAACAAGGTGTTCAGGACAGCTACGTAAAGTAAGAATTATCCTTAAATAAAACTTTTATCAGAGCTGGAGCTAGGGCAAAGAATGGGGTTTGTTAGGAATGGCAGATGCCACCTGTGTAAACCATAACTCAAAAGGACCAGGGTTTCTGCAAATGTGTTAGATCAGGAGTGTCCAAACTTGGTCCCTGAGGTCAGGTGTCCTGGAGAGTTTAGCTCCCACCGCAATTAGACACACCTACTCCAATTAGACACACTTAAACCAGCTAATCAAGCTCTAACTAGCATACTAGAAACTTCCTGGCAGGTGTGTTAAAGCGAGTTGGAGCTAAAGTCAGATCATATTCATATCTTAAAGGAACCATACCACAGTTCTTTCAGAATTGGACAAGACCACCTTCAGCTGGGTCTTGGCACATTTGTTTGGTGTGCACCAGAGTTTTGTATTCAAACCTTCCTAAAAGATCCGCATCAGAGGGAATCAAGGTTGACTTTAATTTACCCACACTATTGTCGGTGTGCAGGAAAGAGGCCATAAAAAAGATTAGATGAAGCGCCTTTACACTTTTTCAGTTTGAAGTAATTCAGACCCTAATCGTTCATCACTTTTTTCAGTGTTAAGTAATTCCGACTCTAATCGTTCATTGCACTTTTAAAATAAAGGTGCCATGAGGAGTCAAAAAGGGTTTTCACAGAGATGCCATAGAACATAGGTCTCAAATTAGCCATAGAACCTTTTTTTTGTGTCCAGAACAATTTTAAATTCTAAAGAAAACTTTTCAACTTTAAAGAACTTACTGTGGCATGAAACCTATCCATCAATGTTAAAAGTTCTTCATGGAACTTTTGATGCTAATAAAAAACCTTTATAGACTGAGGATGCTTTCACACCTAGACTTTTGCTTCGGAACCTGTCTCATTTGCCCACTTAGCGAGGCTGGTTTGGTATATATGAATCCAGCAATCGCGCTCGGATCCGCGCCAAAACAATCGGTTCAAAATCGCCTGAATGAGGTGGTCTCGGCTTGATTGAAATGAACTCTAGAGTAGATTGATTGTAGAGAGAAAGCAATACTATCTGAGCCCGGCAATATCACAGTGTTTTATGGATATGTAATAGGCATACAGCTATATGAAGAGTGAATGACGAGTAGGGCGGGAGGTCATTCCAGACATCCCAAGTCTCCCGGAAGTTCAGGGAGTCTCTGTGCATTTGCGGTAGACTCCCGGATTCTGCCCACCCGCAAACAACTAATAATCTCCAGTAATCGCGCGTCTCCCTGCCAGTCTTTAAAATCTCACCCCTCTCCACCACATCCCTCCTCGTTCTTCAGACACGTCGTGCACATCCTGTCAGACACCACCAAACCATGCTGAGTGGGACCCTGCACAGTAAACCGTGAAACTTTGACCAATGTAAGGAGAGTTAACTCACACATGATCTGTTTTAGCTATTTTGGTCCGTTTAGAAACTTTGCCATGTGAAAGCGACCTGTACCAAGAACAATGAGCAACAATGTAACAATTGTAATCCCTGTTTTGGAACAAATTAATCGATTTACAGGTGAGAAAGCACCCATAAAAGCAAGTAGGCAGGCTAGAGCTAAACTCTACAGGACATTGGCCTTCCAAGTGTAGGATTGGACACTGTTGAGACTATGCATGCACATACACTTACAGGAACTGATGTGCCTGGCTCCAGCGTGACGGGCAGTGCAAGCTTGCCCTGCAGATTGAGTTTGGTTAAATAGAACACCTTCTCCCCAAGGACCTTCTCTTTCTTCATGCGCCGCACACTGTAGAGACGGAACCGGACAGCATAATCCCCCAGTGCATCCTCCTCTACACATGAGAACCGGAATGTTTCTGTAAAAACAGGACAGGGGCCCTTTTGAACTCCTGTCTTGGCCCTCTGCTTCTTGGTGGGCAGTAGAACCAGGTGGACCTGCCAGGAAATGTTCCCTGTGCTTTTAAGTGTTGGAATATCTGTGGCAGCAGTCACCGTCACCGCAAGCCGTTGCTCGCCAGGGTCATATTCGAATGCCACATCCAATGTGCCGTATTTCCCCAGTGCCTCTGGTTCGTATGATTCTGGAAGGGGTGGGATTAAGCTATCCTGTCGGAGAAAGGGAAATACAGAGCAGGTGTGACAGAGGAAATGGTTTTTAGAATTTGTAACTTGTGTGCAAAAACAAAACAAAAACAAGAACAGATCAGATCTCTTGAGGTGCCTGTGTTGGTGACAAGGTGGTCCATTAAGTTATCTGCGGTATAGGGTGTCATATCCTAAGGAATCACAACTTAAGACACTTTTCTTGGTAAGAAATAAGAAGCTTTGCTAACTTTCCATATTACTTTTTAGTCACCACATAATTGATATTGCTATGTAGATGGTCATGTTTTTAAATGTATTCAGTTAACATCAGAAAGTTGTAGGCATTTTAAAAGTGCAGTTTTAGCATCTTTTGTAAAATGATTGCTGTTTTTGCACTGTAGAGTAAGCTTTAAGGATAACAGGATATATAACTATTTGACTTTGACTCATCATCATATGGCACCTATTAAAGAAGCCGGGCTTCGATAAGAAGTTAACATCCAGGCTTCCGGTGTGTCTTCAATCACAGGCAAACTCAAAGGAAAACTTACCAGATGTGGCCAGAGTGAACCAACCCCAACCTGAGAATCCACGAATCCATCCTTGCTCCTCATATATAAAACCATCAGTGATATGACTTATTAATGTGACAATGAAATGATACTTTAATAAACAACTGAAAACCATACTTTACAGTGGTTTCTTAAAGTGGAGACACCAGTGAATGGGAAACAGATAAAAATGGGGGGAAATGCTAACAAGAAGAAACAGATGACAGGCGTCTCGGTTTATCATTTTGGCATTGCAAAAGCATCATCTATGATAAACAAACTTTGACTTAATTTAAACATCATGGATTAAAAACAAATATTATGTCAAAAACGTGACGTTGGTGAACAATAGCTGTGGTGGAGAGCCCTCTTGGTAAAATAACAACACTGTTGGTGGATTTCAGTAGTTCCATTGGTGATGGTGGGGCCGTGATTCTCATAGAAGAACACATTTGAAACGACGGGCTGAGGTGCTCACCTCCGGGCCCAAAACAGCAGTGCTGTCGCTGGGTGCGTCCTCTTCATAGCCCTTATTCAGGTAACTCTCTGTGTCCTCAGGGTCTTCAGTCCCCTCACTGATCTCACTTCCACTACCCTCTGCAGAGTCACTGCGGCCCCTTGAACCACGCTTTACATCATCTTTGTCCCGATATGGCGGAGGCTGAAGTTCATTCAAAGAACTTGAACCTTTTTTTCTTTTAACTGAATTGCGAGAAACAAATGAACTATGTTTACATCCTGAACGTGGCACAATTAGGAATATTTCATTATTCACAAAGCACAATGTTTACCCAGCTCAGCCGAGGCCTCACTGCTGCAATCTTCATTCTCTTCATCCCTGTTTCTCCATCCACTCCTCTGCTGATGAGAGTCTTTGTGTTTTTTCTGTGTTTCATCTTCACTTTCTGATCCTTTTTCTGCACAGCCCCCATCTGAAAAAGAAGATCTACATTTAAATTCAGTTACTATAAACAACCTATTGTATACGTCTTGCAGACCACTTTTGTGGAATAGGAGCAAGAATCATTAATAATTCAGAAGCTTCTTCCAATTTTAAACTCACATGCAGCTATTTTAAGACAAAACTAACTGAAGAATATCAAATGACTTCATTTGCTTCGCGTATTTAAAAGTCCCATATTGTGTTCCAGCTTTAGGTTTATGTATGCGTGTTCTTGCCTCTGTTGCACAGAGTCCGCAACAAAAGATCGCCTCGCCCTTCATAATTAATTAATTATTTCACTGTAATAATAATAATAATAATAATAATAATAATAATCATCATCAGGGCCTGACCAGCCACTGTGGCTATAGTTGCATGTCCAGTCACAATTTCACACAAGAAAAATGGAGTGCGCACGTGTTTTAAACAGTCGCACGCATTACAACAGCTTTTGTCACAAGTGATCATCCTCTCAATCGGTATTCACAGAAATTATTTAAAGAATAAACTTACAAAGCACACTTAGAAATATAGCCTTGCAGACAGGTATCTTGTGATGGGGAGGAGTGCAGGAAAAAAGGCAGTTTTTCAATGTAACCCCTGGCCTTCTTCTTGACATCAGCGGAGACTGACATACGCAGGATAATTTTATCTTGGTCCACTTTTGTAGCGTTTTTATACACTTTTGTGAAGTTGAAGGCTACATCTTCATCTAATAGTTAGTCGGCATGACACAGACCAACATTACTCTCATCATGAGCAAACTCGGAGCACTTCACCGGCGATGACTCTCTTCCCAGGGGATGCTAAGCTTGCGCAGAATCCTGAACATTCTATAACTGTTACATCACACTTTGTAAAGAAACTGGTCTGGCGGATATCGCGGTTTGTGAGAAAAAAAACTTTTTGTATGAGGCCTAAAATGTACATTCTTAAATGTTATTAATTGCAGGATTCACACATAGATTAAGGTGCATTTGAACAGTGATTTTCAATAATAAAATACAAATGTCAAAAAATGGCGTTTATCGCGTTTTGCAACCAAACTCTTCATATATCCACTTAAATTGTTGAAGCACACAGGGAGTTTTACTGCAAAACAGCCACCATTTACTTATTTTTTTCCACATCTTTTGCTAAATCATTTTTACTATTTGAAAACTCTTCTAATAAATGCTTCATTTTATGTTGCCTCTATGTGTAAAACGGGATTTACAGGCTTTCTACAATTAACAAATTATACACTTTACATATTAAAAAGAAAAACACCAGTAAAGGCATGGCCATCACTGAAAATAACCAGGACTGGGACATCATTCTTGGAGCTCTCTGCCATATGATCCATAATTCCAATGCTTATTCCTGTTCATGAGCTTCTTCCCTCCCAAAAAAATAAGTTCTTGGCCTGGATCAATGCAAAAGTTTTTGATTATCAGGTGTTCCTGTATTTGAGTAGATTTGGAGGTCAACTTTTTAGGAAAGCAGTTATCCAGGTACAAGGCGGTGCAAGTAGGCTTAGTATCCCACAGAGCAAGGGTGTCCAAACTTGGTTCGCATGGCCGGTGTCCTGCATATTTTAGTTCCAACTCCAGATTCATTCATTCATTTTCTTTTAATCTCTCGGCTTAGTCCCATTATTAATTTGGGGTCCCACAGTGGAATGAACCGCCAACTTATCCAACATATGTTAAACCCATCTCTGGGAAACATCATACACAGTTATTCACACTAATTCGAACAACTTAGCCTACCCAATTTACCTCTACCGCATGTCCTTGGACTATGTGGGAAACCGGAGCACCCAGGGGAAACCCATGGGAACACAAGGAGAACATGCAAACTCCACACAGAAACACCAACTGACCCAGCCGAGGCTTGAACCAGTGACCTTCTTGCTGTGAGGTGGAAGCACTACCTACGTGGCCACTGCGCCGCCCCAACCCCAAATAAACACACCTAAACCAGCGAATCAAGCTTTTTCTCAGTGTATTAGAAACTTCCAGGCAGGTGTGTTGAAAAAAAAGTTGGAGCTAAACTGTGCAGGACACCAGGACACGAGGCATCTCCTCATTTAACACACATGATTCAACTCATTGGAAAAGACTGCACAACCTGGAAGAGAGGGTGGGTGTGACGTATCGAGTTACAGATATGGCAAGCCTCCAAGACCAATTTTTTTTAAAACACCTCAAACATACAGAAGTAGTGGTTCAATATTGGCTTATAGGACGCCCACAGCTCTGCTGCACATGAATATTGTATGAAAGGAATTCGGACGGACTACATCCTCCCAACAATGGGTTAGTAAAGTTGTCTATTCAACTCCTACTTCAGAATCTGGCCAAGAGTAGTAGGTCATACTATACAGTAGAGAACAATGTGATTTCACAACCACTGTAAGAGTGTAAATGTGTATGACAGAAAAGGGAGTTATTCAAATGCATACAGCTGAGGGTATTCTAACACCAGGGTTGGGAAGCGCTACCATGCAAGACTTTTGTAAAGAGATGACTAACCTTCCCCTTGAAGGACTATTGTCCTGCAGAAATTACCTCCAATGCATTTATCTAAAACAGAGCTAGGCAAGTTCAGTCCTGAGAAGCGCAGTCCTTCAGAGTTCTTCTCAAACATGTAAACAAGTCAAGCAAGTTCGAAAACTACAGGCAGGTGAAGTTTTTTAAGGCTGCGTCGAAACTTGCTACTACTGTCTAGATGTTTCTAGTGAGGCTGAAAACCTTGATTAGTTTGTTCATGTGTGTTTATTAGGGATGTAACGGTATCAGAATTTCACGGTACGGTAATACCTCGGTATGAATGTCACGGTACGGTATTTATTGAATCATTTACAGGAAAAAAAAAACTTTTGAAAATACTCCAAAAAAGTGCCAAAAGTGTCAATGACATACAAATTAGCCATCTATCTGTTAGCTTTGAAACAGGAACTTCAATTTTAATAACAAAAAATTATTAAACCATGTAAAAAAAATAAAGTTTCAATTTAGTATTGTTAAAAACTCATCACATTTAACATTTAATCACTCACTTAGATAGAGATGGGTTTAAAGGAAAATTATCATATAACTATAATCTGGTAAAAGCTGGTATCTCTGGGTATTTACAATGTCCCCTGCAACAGAAAAAAAAAACCCTCTCATTTGGGACTGAGGATTCTGGGACAAGAGAGATATGACTTGGCCCATGTTGACAGCAGTGGGGTAACGTTGTGCATTGTCTTTCCCCCACTTGAGAGGACAAACCATGAGTGAGATAGAGATCTCTTTGCGGTACAAGTCAATGTCTGCATCAATCTGAACAGTGTGCTGTGTTTCTGCAGTCCCCATGACTGTTATTAGTCGTATTCCCCAACTTGCAGGCACGTGCACACATAGGGCTCAACCTGTGCAGTGTACATGCCCTTTTTAGTCTTGGATAGAAAATGCCCTTCCAAAACGATCAAAAGTGCCCCCGCGACGCGACACAACGTCCGTCCAGTCCAGCCCTTCAGTAGGCGCGCGATAACACCTCTCTTGAGTATGCGTGCTCAACCCCCCCTCGGCGCTTTAAAATACGCGCGCCACAACACAGCTGATCAGAACGCGCGCGACAGCACCGCTATTCAGCACGCGCGCGGCGACAACACCCGCTTTAGGTTCGATCATTTCCATCTTTTTTTCATCTCCGCTACTAGCAGCACACTCCATTTCCGCATTACTGGATCTGTAGACAACAGACCGCAAAGGATTATGGCCACGCCGGGGCTGATGGGAAATGAAGTTTCAGCTACCTCCCGTTCGCTTCATTCGCCTGAGCAAATTTTCTCAGAAGACCTATAGTTTTACCGAGTCATGCGACTTCGGTAATATAGAAACAATTTAATATTGCGGTATGACGGTATTTACAATACCGTTACATCCCTAGTGTTTATTAATGCTTAGAATGAAACTCAATATAAAAGTGATACTGATGTGATAAATGACCCCCCCCCCCTTCACCCCCAGGAGCATGTTTGAGCACCTCTGCACTATTGAAAGTCTGTCTAAACCTGCTTCTTGAGGGCCAATGCACTGCAGAGATTACCTAGCTGTTCTAGTACATTCTAGAAGACCTTAAAACATCAATAGCTTTGCTGAATCTGGTGTGTTTAATTGGGATTGAGGGTAAATTCTGCAGGACAGTAGATATTAAAAAGAAAGAGAAAGATTCATAAATAAGACAGCCCATTTGTGTTTAGGTAAAACCTTGGAGATTTTAGGGAACAGCGAGGAACCAAAGACACACAACCACCTCATCAAAAGAGCAAAGCACAGCACAGCACAGCAAGTCCAGCGTACGGTCTCACCTTTACATTCTTTATTCTTTTTTGCCTTTGATTTTGCCTTTGAATTCTTTGAATCCTGAACGGCTTCCTCCTGTTCTTCATCACTAAAAACTTTACCTTTCTTCTTTTGTGTTTTACCTTCTTCATGTGACACCTCGTCTTCATCTTCTTCAATTTTTTCACTACAGTTCTCTCCATTTCTGTCAATATTGGATGTAGATGTGTCAGGATCACCAGACATTTCCTGAGAATCCTGCTCTTCCTGACTATTACTTGTGTGCACTCCGTTAGCGTTTTCCTTGTGGTGGTCACCTTCTTTCTTGTGTTTGCCTGACAAAGAGGTACTCTCTTCTAAAGTCCCTACCTCTTTTGATTCTTGCTCAGTGTTGCTTGTTTGGTTGTCTGAGGTCTGAGATGGCTGGTTTGGGTCTTTCCTTTTACGATACCAACCTTTGGAGGGTGCATAACACCACTCCCACTCCTCCTCCTCAGCTCTCCTTGCTTCCTCCTGTCTTTCTTTCTCTCTCTGGATTTCCGCTTCATCTACTTCAATAGTCCACATGGAGTTCTTTTTTGATTTTCGGCTTCTCCGACTTTCACCATCAGCATCTGCTTCCGTATCCTGCCGTTTTAGCTTCCTATCCTTTTGGACATCATCCGAAGAGCCTTCAGCATCCTTACCGGATTTTCCATCCTCTTCTGTCTGTACTTTGTTGATAATTGTATTGACCTGCTCTGTTAGTTGGTCACTGACAGTGTATGTGACATCACTGACCGCAGTGGACAGATCATCCACAGCAGTCGAGACGGTGTTTGAGACGGAGTCCAGGAGGGAACTGACAGAAGGGAGGTTCTGTTGGAAGCTCTTGAAAAAAGCCATTGCTTTGTGTCTTTGGTGTGCTTCTGCTAATTGACTGCAAATTATGTTGAAAAGTCAGCTTGTATACATCAGTCTTCAGGATAGGTATTTAAGTAGGGCTGGACGATTAATCGAAATAAAATGCAACTGAGCAAAGCTGTGATTATCATGCACATCTTGTCAGGAAAGCATGGTCGTGAGATCAGTAATAAATCTCCTCCGAAGGCCAGAGGGGGCTCTCGTGCAGAATGTCTAAACACCCATCAAGAAGAAACACAGGTAATGCCAATACGCTTAATTTATGCGGCCACATTTTATAACATGAAAGTGAGGCTGTGGTGGGAATAAACCCGGAAGTATAGGATCAGCACTGTAAACATTGCAACAACATGCTGTAGACTACAAACTTCCAGCTGTTGCCGCAATTTTAAAATGCAGTCATGGTGTAAACATCACTTGGTCCCACTTTATATTAAGTGGCCTTAACTAATATGTACTTACACAGGAATTAATAGTTTGTTAAAATGGACTTATTGTGTAAATACATTTATTTACTGTGTACTTATGCTTGATTAAATACATGTATGTAATTACATCTGTAATTAACTTTTGTAATTACATTTGTAAATACACTGTTGACTATCCCTTACACCTCAACCCACCCTTAAACCTACCCATGCCACCAAACCTGTCCATAACCCAACCTCTATCCCAACTCAAAAGCACCACAAGTGTTCTCAAATACATTATAAACACAGTAAGTACATTGTATTTATTTGTTGATGTAAGTACATAGTAGTTAAGGACACTTAATATAAACTGGGACCCTATTAAAGAGTGTCCTCCATAGCTTCAGTTCATGGCACCAGGTAAACACCGTGGGAGCTACCCTGCTTCAGCCTATGTAACCCGGTCAGCAATAAAACAATGCAGTCATCTGTAGCACACCGTCGTGTTGTGTGTCTATTTTCTGCTAACAATTAAGCACAGATGAGCGGGTTCTTAAACGCTGCAGATTTGCCATACTATTCACCAGGGCTCAACAGAAATGACTGTGATTGGCCATGAAGGTCATCAGTTCACCTCTCTTCATCGAGTACAAACCGGTACAAGCACAGATACACTGACACTGGAGCATTTAAAGCTGCAAAGATCAGTCGACTGCTTGTCTGTGTTTGCACTCGGTAAACAGTGTTGAAGCTTCACAGCCAATCACAGTAATTTCTGTTGAGCACTGGTGAATACTACGGCAAATTAGCTGTGTTGAGTTCAACAGTGCCTAAATGTTAGTGGGAAATTTTTATTTCAGTACCAAAATTCAGTATCGTGACCAGTCTAATATAGTGAAAGAATCATTTCATTACCTTGAGTTTGATAAATGGCATCTAAAACACGAAAGATAACGTTAGCTAACTAGTGCTATTTCCCTTAACTTGAAAATTAGGTCTGATATCCCTTTTTATTTTCACTTTCCATTCAGAAAAGACCTTAGGGACACTTAAAAGGTGGTGGAATTCTAAATATGTGTCGCTTTCTATTCACTGATAAGATATACAGCCAGATACACAATATTCCAGTTTGATACTTCCGGGTTTCTTCCCACAGCAGCCTAGACTTCGCTTTTTAAATGGCAGCCACACGAAATCAGTCTATAGCACTGCATTATGAACAGAAGATTTAACAGTTATCACTGATTTAGCACCATGAATAATCACTGTGTATTCATTGTTATTCTTTGAATAATCAGATGACTACGGAATCACCTCACCAAAGGATTTACTTTAAACACTTAACTAAAGTGATGAAGTGAATTAGGAGTAAAAACATCTCCATAAATGTGGCATTTTTACACGTAGCATATACTACAAAACAGCTGCAGTTCATGAAAATAGCTGTCTGTATCCCTGAATGATTATAATAATTTCACTATCATCAGTTAAAACTGATTTTCTATTTTGAACGTGATGCTTCAGTGTACTACAGCTCTGTTTAGTAAATACTGCTCCATCTGAAAGTATGATGGAGATTTATTAGAACTGGCTTTATTGACAAAATGCACATAAAAATTGCCTTTGATTAATCACCCAGTCCTACTCATAAGCATTTGATTCTTAATAAAAAAGCATGACATACAAGTCTTGTAAAACTTAGTGAGCTTGCTTAAGCTTTAACCTCAACAGCAATCATGTTCAAACTGGTTCCTGTTCTCTCATTGTTTACATTTCAAAGGTTTGCACATAGTATTTTTTTGCATGGATCAAGATGGCCAGAAATGGCAAAAAACAGTGCTCACTAATGCTGTGTTCACACCAGACGTGAACATTTGCATGTAAATAGATGCGTGAACAATTTGAATTCACTCGAGTCATTTGTGCGTCAAATTCGCATCATTCACACCTGAAATTCACTTCCCAACAGACACAGAGGCTTCACCATGGGTCCGCCCGGTGACTCTAGTTTCATTGCTAATCAGCTAACATGGATTTTATTGAAAGAGTAGCTGTGCTTTATGTGCTTTAGGAAGGCTGAAAAACAGCATAGATTTATTCTGCGCCGTGTCTGAGTCCACTACATCCGTTCAGAGGTGCACCCAGCTCTGTGAGTTCATCAACTCCTCCAGAAACTGTATCTGTATGATGGAGGCTTTCAGTGGTGCTTCCGACTAAGCCGAACCCAGTTTGATGAACTGTTGTTCGGTGTCAGAGGGAGTAATTACCCTTGAGATGCCAATAACAGGCACTACGTCAGTGGTGCTCAACCCTGTTTCTGGAGATCGACCTTCCCACAAAGTTCAGCTCCAACCCTGATCAAACACACCTAAACCAATTAATTAGGATCTGAACAGCACTTGATAATTACAGGCATGTGTGTTTGATATAGGTTGCAACTGAAATCTGCATTAAGGTCGATCTCCAGGAACAGGGTTGGTCACGCAAATATCCTTTAAAGTTTAGATTTTCTAACTTGAGCGATATGGGCAATTCTCATGTTAAACGTGCAAAACGCTCAATAGCATCCCTTTTCGTTCACACGCATGGTGTCATTCATGCTGCAGATTGTCTATTCGCATCTTTGCATTGACTTAACATGTAAAACACTCGAGCTTAACACTTCATCCACGCCTAGTGTGAAGGCAGCATAATGCTCAATACATCGTTAAATATTCTACATACAGTCAAAGCTATTTAAACACTTTATCACAGTTTATTTGCTATAGTTTCGAAAATGGTTAACTGTCAGAACAAATTCATCTCGATATTGTCAGATGACTTCCAACGGAAGGTGCACTATTGATTACAATAAACCAAAATGAATTCAGACAACCGTATGACTTTTTTTTTTACCCAACTATCAATCCTTTGTTGGTTTGCCTCTTAGCTCTGTCAATGTCTCTCTGACAACCAGATCCATGTAAACCTGAACATCAATATTGTCCCAGACTCCCTGCAGCAGCTTTTTCAGTTTCTACTGAATTTTAGTCCATGGTATGCAAATTTTTGTGTGTAATATGTCAGCATTTGAATTAAACGGCTATTCTCACTTATATTAATGTACTAAAGCGTAAAATAACGTATACTATACTGTATCTCATGTGCATGGATGACCACCAACATAGCATGTTTTGGATATCTCCTTTGTCTATTACAGGTCTTTCAATCGCTGCTGATGATCTGAAACAGATGTGTTTGGTTAAGGAGACCTGGAAAAATGTGCAGGGCCGGTGGTCCTCCAGAAATGTGGTTGAGAAACACTGTACTATAGTGTCCTATAAATATCTCAAAAATGATATCCAGTGTCTGAATCATTTTGGGTTTCTCTGCATAACAAGTTTACACATGAATTGAAAACGCTCAAGGTGTTTACCTTGCAAGCTCTTGTCAAAACTTTCAAAACGTGGCAGATCACTTCTCGGGCTCTCCACTGAAAGCTTGCTGCTGAGGTAAAGAAAAAACAGAGCGATCACGGCCATGAAGACAGCAATGGAGGACAGGACACCTAGCAGCTCTGGAGATACTGGAGGAAAAAACAGAAACAGAGAAATAGAAAGCACAGGGTTGGCTGATAAAAGCTGAGAAAGCAGAGGTCAGGAGTTGAGAACTTGATCTACCTAGATAAAAGATAAGCAATGGAGATTGTGGTGGATGCTATCATGAGTTACTCTAGTAATGATAGAGTAACAAACCTTCCAGTGCTTTTGTTGGATTGGAAAGTTGGCCTGAACATAAATATTGCACTAATCACATGCTATTTAAAATAAATACTTTCAGACCGTTTGATGTTCTCCATAAGACCACTACATGTAAGAGCAAGCTTATAAGAGCAAATTAGATAAAACCAACATTAGACACTAGACTAAATGCAGTCTTTCATGAACAGTAATTAAGCTGTTTGTACATAGAGCTTTTCTGAGTAGCCTATGATAAGATGATCTAGTAAACCTCTTAATTGTAGCAGAAATCTGAACGTAAAGCACATGCTTTTTCTCTGCCTCTTCAACACACCATGAAATACACATTGATCATACTTCATATAAACACATCTATGCATAAAGGTCAGAAAAAAACAGCACTCAACACTCAAATATTACCACAACTTCCGGAAAACAACAGTCTGGTGACGTCTCCTAAATCTAACGATTTCTTCATTCAATCAGTGTGTGGTTATCTATACCTTTATATCTCCTCTGCCAATGTTCTTTATTCCTCCGAGATCAGATTAATCCATGATATTTAAAAGGTTTTGCCCTCCATCTCTCGCAGCGAGTGAATCTATAGCGCTCGACTTCAATCTATCTCTCCCAGTGCTGAATAATTCACCAGTCTAAGGTAATTGGATGCCCCTTCACACTTTGTGAGCACAATACCATCAGACCTTCCACTGGAACCTTCCCTACATTCATTTTGAAGCTGGCTTGACGGGGATATAAGTGGTAAACACATGTCTGTATGCTAATTGCTCCATATATAGACCGAGATATTGCGAAGCTGAAAAGTTCTTGTGTGAACTGTTAGGATGTGGCCAGTTTTTACATTAAAAAAATGCTTTGAATTACTCCAAACAGCATTTAGCTTGTATGTGTCAAGAACAATTTTTATGTGTGCACTTAACAGTAAGCTTCTCAATTTTGCAAGTGACTCCATAATGAGAAAATGTAAGCAAATGTAAGTTTTCCAATGGAAATCATTTTCATTTTCCACATTTCACCCCAAATCTTTCACTATCGTCTACTGTTTTGTAACCAAATCTTCCCCTTTGCTCTGTGGCTCTGACAGAGTGAGACAAAGCCATGGTCATTTAAATATCAGTGGTTAAGTAGTTTTAGAAATTGTGTTGTTTACACATAGGTCTTCCTGCTCATAGTAATACGATCCTTAGGTGTTAATTAATAATGAGGCTTGTTTTTGTTCACCAGGCCTGATAGGTCATTCATAATTGATAGAAGTATGGGACAAAGTAGGTTAAAGAGATAGTTCACCAAAAATAAAAAATAAAAATTCTGTCATCATTTACTCACTCTTCCCTTGTTCTGCTTGAGTTTTATTTAATATTGTAGAACACAAAAGAAGACATTCTGAAGAATGTTGAAAACCTTTAATCTGACTTTCATAGTATTTGATTTTCCAACAACGGATGTCTGTTGTTAAAATTTTCCAACATGCTTCAAAATATCTTCTTTTGAGTTCAACGGAACAAAAACAAACTGGATTGAAGGTAGGGATGGCTGATGTGAAACTGACGTTTCGACACAGTGTTGAGATCCCGAAGCGCAAGTGTTTCAAAACACTGCACCGAAGCATGATCCGAAGCACTCAAGTCACGTGACTAAAGTGTTTCGAAACACCTGTTCACGTGACTAAAGCGATTCAAAGTATGGATCAGCTTAGAAGCGTTTTGAGACCTGGCAAATCTACATTTGGCTGCCAAGGCCTGGAAAATTCCCCGTTTCCCCGTTAGTGGACTGTGCGTATGCACACTGTTACTATGCTTCGAATGACTTTTTGGGTACGAATCCCGACTTGTACAAATACTCCGAAATCATGGTTTTATGTATTTTAATCATGTTTCTGTTTTGTGTAGCCTAAATAGGATACAGCTGCAGTTACGCCATCAATTTAGCATAATTTTTGTAACACTGTAAAACAATAATTAATATTTTACAATACTGTGATAGTTGGGTTTAGGGTTTGGGTAGACGTTAATAAAATACAATAAATGGGAAATTTAATGAATAAATGAATAAATAATTCTTGATAACTTCAGGCCACAGCTTCTGATCTAGCAACAACACTGTTTTAAGACCAAAACAAGACATATTTATTCACAAATTGTTTTTTCGGATATCAGACCAATGTTGAAACAAAACGATTCAAGAGCAAAGCATTACCAACTGGTATTAAAGCATTTCAAAATAGCTGTATCAGCCTGGATTTGAACCCACCATCCCCGCATGGTAGTCAGACACCCTAACCGCACCACTAAATTTCTTGAAGATTCAAACATACAAAGTGGGGTTTAATACCTCAATCTGCTCAACTGTTGTTTGCTGAAGCTGTTTCAGTGCAATACATAAGAAATGACCACTAGATGTCACTGTAGAGGGGGGTTTCGAAACGTTTCGAAGCTTCGACACATTTGCTTCGACTGTTTTTTGACAGAATTTTTGGGTAAACTATCCCTTAAATGAGTTCTTTTTTATTTTAGTATCTTCATATGCTACACAGGAAAATCCTGAGTAAAATTTACTTAGTTCAGAGTGTTTTTGGTCCCTCTCTAAATTGAGTGAAAATTACTCAGTAGCGGAGGTAAAGTTAATGAGACAATAAAGAGATTAATTAAGTGATGACTGAGCACTGATGATGAACACCTGCTGTTGATAAGCAAAAACAGAAGAGAACCACAAAACTACAACTGACTTTAAACAGCAGCAGCAGATTCATTTATTATTAACCTGTTTGACTAACCGCTTTCACTTCAATGTCCACAAAAATCCTTATGCAATTTATTGAGAATTAACTTTTAGTTTTTTACTTTTTCCAAAAAAAAAAAAAAAAAAAAAAAAAAAAAAAAACTTTTTTTTCTGAAGTCACCATCGTGGAAAACAGTAGTTGCATTTACTTGGGCTCTTTGACTTGATTTCTAATGTTTGTGTTTTTTTAAGCTTGTTATTATAATTATAAAGTGGATGAATATGATCAGATTAAATGATCCTGCATTGATTCTTGGGCCCTATCATACACCCGGCGCAATGCGGCGGACGCAATTATTGTTTGCTAGTTTTAGCTCGGCGCAAGAGTCGTTTTGCAGCACGCTGTTTAATTAGCAAATGCTTTTGCACTCATATGTGCACCCATAGGCCTTCTGGTCAAAAAAAAGGAGGCGTGTTAAGGTGCATAGCTGGCACGTTGCTATATAGAGGAACTAAAATGGACCACTCAATAGACCAGTAGAGAGGAGGTCTAAAGTCCAGCGCAGATAGTGTTAGTTGTGCGGCTTGCTTAAACATGGCTTAACACACACAGGATGTACATTAATATGCAAATATCTTTACAAATAAAAAAGAATTAAAGGATTAGGATATTACATTTTTTTTTGTCTACATAAATATAAAAAACACAGCCTCCATGCCTTCTTCTTGGGAGGCTTTTTCAGTTCATTCATAACAATTTTCTTTTGTATAATGTTATTATTATTAGCAGTAGTATTGTCATATGCATATTATTATTCTTTTTTTATTAAAAAAAAGCTTAAGATTTGTCCACCTGTCAGGTTTAGACCATATAAGGGCATACAGTAGCATGTGTATTAGGATATAACTCAGTTGTTTGAGCACACTTCGTTATTATTGTTCATTTATTAATTTGCTGGAAATTAGAACTGAATTTAGAAATAGTTTTGAAACAAATATTTGCGCTTAATAAACAAAATTAATTATGTAAAGGCTAATGGTGGTCTGTGTGTAAAACACGTTCCCTATCCACGAGAGTGAAAGTGAAAGTAAAGATTGAGGAGGCTCATCTCTCATTCTCGCGCTGTAGATGCTCTGTTTAACTGTTTTCTCTAGTGAAGCGCTCAGTTTTTCCACTTACAAAGTCCGCTGTGTAAATAGCAAATGCGCTATGGCGCGATGCAACTGGCATCTAAAGGGAACGGGAGATGAGACTCTGATTGGTTTATTATCAAAACACACCTATAACTTATTATGAGAATAAGCTGAACCCTGCTAGACCATGAGCGGATGCATGCAAAGCGGATTTTTCGTCCTTAAAATAGCAAAAGTGGATTCTGACACACCCTTAATGCTTTTACGCCCTGTGCTTTGCACTTTGCGCCTGGATCGTCAAAATAGAGCCCTTAATGTTTATAAGTTTATTTATTCATTTTCTTGTCGGCTTAGTCCCTTTATTAATCTGGGGTCGCCACAGTGGAATGAACCGCCAACTTATCCAGCAAGTTTTTACGCAGCGGATGCCCTTCCAGCCGCAACCCATCTCTGGGAAACATCCTCACACACACACACACACACACACACACACACACACACACACACACACACACACACACACACACACACACGTTTTAGCTTTTTTAAGTAATATGTTTTATAATAGAATATGTAATGTTCAACTTCTCAATAATATTATTAAAGCAAACACAGGTGCTATTTACATATACTTGATTTGATTTATTTATTTTCAAACAAAAATATCATTAACAAAAAGAAACACATTTCAACGTGGTCGAAAATGGAGCGGAATGAAGCAAAAGCTAATGGCTAATAATTCTGACTTCAGTTAATATGGAAAGCGAGTGCATGTTTTTATCAAATCTAATATTGGATTTTATTTTAAATGCATGTTTGTGTAAAACCTAGTTTAGAGCATCATTATTGGTGTTTTACGTTGTAACTAACTTGGTTCAAGCGATGGATTTGCGACAGAGAAACTACAGGTTTTAAGAAACACTCTTCACTACATAGTTCTTTTCCCAATCGATGCATCATTTTATGATAGTTCAGCCATGAGTTACGTCGTTGTTTGGGAAACGCATCCCAGGTTGGTAAAAAGTAAAGCTGCTGTTTGTGGAGTTGCTCAATGATCCTCTGCTGAGACTTTGAGAGACTAAATGTGTTTCATTTCAGTTTATTTAATCTAAAGCTGTGACTCAAGGTAGTTGTAGTTTTGTGGTTCTCTTCTGTTTCTGCTTATTAGCAGCAGGTGTTCATCATCAGTGCTCAATCATCACATAATTAGGTACTTCATTGTCTCGTTAACTTTACCTCTGCTGGTGAGTAACTTTTACTTAATTTAGAGAGGGACCAAATACACTCTGAACTGAGTAAATTTTACTAAGAGGATTTTGCTGTGTATCTACAGTTAAAGTCAGAATTATTAGCCCCCCTGAATTATTAGCACCCCTGTTTATTTTCCCCCCTTAATTTCTGTTTAACTTTCTTACCTTAATTTCTGTCAAGGTTTATTCAACACATTTCTAAACATAGTAGTTTTAATAACTCGTTTCTAATAACCGATTAATTTTATCTTTGCCATGATGACAGTAAATAATATTTTACTCGATAGTTTTCAAGACTCTTCTATACAGCTTAAAGTGGCATTTAAAGGCTTAACTAGGTTAATTAGGTTAACTAGGCAAGTCATTGTACAATGATGGTTTGTTCTGTAGACTAACGAAAAAAAAATAGCTTAAAGGGGCTAATATTGACCTTAAAATGGTTTTAAAAAAATAAATACTGCTTTTATTCTAGTCGAAATAAAACAAATAAGATTTTCTCCAGAGGAAAAAATATTACCAGACAACCTGTGGACATTTCCTTGCTACGTTAAACAACAATGGGTGAAATATTTAAAAAAGAAAATAAATTCAAAGGGGGCTAAAAATTCTGACTGCAACTGTACACAACAGGTCACACGGCAATCTGTGCATGCTCTAACAGAACAGAAAGCTTCTCTTACCTCTTCTAGCACAGATGAGTTCATGAACACCACAGCTCCGCCCCCCACCTGAAAACAGGAAACAGCTCTTTTAGGAAAGAACTTGTGATGAAGAAAATGCCTGCTGTACTGACTTTCGTTGACGTCATAGCTATGCATTTACGTCACCGACTTGACAATTCATATATTACACGCATGCTGCAGACAGAAAAAAAAGAGCTGATAAATTGTTGCCAGTGACACTCCGATTAATGATGATGCATATCTCTCTCTTTCGCGCACATACTTTCAGATAAAACCGTATCGAAGAAGCATCGTTTTGTACACAGTGTGCGGGCAAGGAAAGCATTATACCTTTCTGGCTCAAGCTCTTCCATTTTCTTTCCATTAATATTGCCGCATACCACTCTTAAAGGTATAGGTCTCCCAAAAAATCAATCTTTATATGTCATGTAATCAACAAGTCACCTTAATATTGTAACTTTTTTAAAACACGAAAGTGACAAGTAGCAGAATATCACCGTTTTGGACTTTTGCAATGAAAATGCATTCCCAAATTACTACTAGACTAAGATTAAGTGTTTTCCTTTACAGAGAGCATGATACCAGTTTCTCTCAGGCATTTCCACTGCTAATATGTGTTGCACTGCTCAAGCTCACACAGGGTTTTAATAGGTTTCATCAAGTCAAATTCAAGACTTTTTTAAGACAATTTTAAGACCATAATTATAAATAGTTGAATAAAGATAAAACAGAAATTCTTATTGTGGGCAAAAAACCTGAGCGAGAGAGGATTGAAGCAGAATTGTGTTCTTTATACCATCCAAAAAAGAATTAAAGAACCTGGGTGTTATTTTCGATTGTGATATTAATTTTAAATCTCATATTAATCAAGTTACAAAAACATAATTTTATCATTTAAGAAATGTTGCCAAATTTCGTTCTTTCCTATCTTTTGATGATGCTAAGAATTTAATACATGCTTTTATTTTGCTTGATTATTGCAATGCTATCTATACTGGTCTACCTAAGGGTTCTACAATGAAGTTGCAATTGATACAAAATGCAGCAGCCAGAGTTTTAATGAAATTGAAGAAACGAGAGCACATTACACCAGTATTAATAGAATTACACTGGTTACCTGTGCACCAAAGGATAGATTTTAAGATTCTTTTATTAGTTAATAAAGCACTACACAATATGACACCTTCCTACATTTCCGACTGTTCAACAAAATATAATCCAAACCGTTTGCTACGCTCTTCTAGTGCTAGACTTTTAGAATTTTATCTTGTAAATCTGATGCGATCTGGCAGCACTTCTCTTAGCCATTATGCCCCAAAAATTTGGAACTGTCTCCCTCTTGAAGTGAAAGAATCCCCCAGTATTCATGTTTTTAAAAGCGTGTTAAGACACATCTTTTTAAAATTGCGTATGAATAAACAAGTTTGTTAGGTGTACGCATTTTATCTATTTTGTTGTAGGTTTATGTATGTAATGTATGGTGTGTGCTTGCATATGTAAGGACTATTGTGTGTGTGTGATCATGTGGATATATACTTATATACTGTGTACATGAATGCTTTTATTACAGTATATGTGATAAGTTTATGTGGTCTATTTTAATGCTTTTGTTGTTGTTTGTGAGGCACTTTGAGTTGCATGTATGTTGGAAAAGTGCTATACAAATAAAGTTTATTATTATTATTATTATTATAATAAATGAAAATTCAGACTTACACAAGGCTAAGCCCTAAAGATTTTTTAATGGCCAAGGTAAAACGTTAAAAAACATTAAAAACTAATGTTATTGTAAGTAAGATAATTTAACCATATTTATAAGTAAATGAAGTTAGTAAATAAATGTTTCTTACAACTTTTATTGAAATATATTTTTAGTGACTGGATGGTTGTTGGCCCGATTGGGCAGCATTACATGGACATAGTACAATTAAGACCCGTTTAAAGTGATTTAAGACCTACAACACAATATTTCACTGGATTTAAAAGTTTTTAAGGCCTAAAATTTGGTTTTAGAAATTTAAGACTTTTTAAAACCCTGCAGATACCCTGTTAAAAGTTATTTATTGTCTTAGTTTTTTAAGTTATATTTCTGACCACGTAAATTATTGTTCTTCATTAAGAAGCTTGTATTGTAATCCATTGTATTGCCATGTTTTTTGAAAACGGTATGGTAATCTGTAAAGTAAGCTTCTTGAATTCAATCATTTACGAGATCAGCTGCTTAATCAATTTCGTCAAACATGGTAAACGATTTTGGCATTGCTGTCCTGATGCAAAGGGCCCGAGCTATCAACCCCGCAAAGAAAGCTTGGACCTCCCGTCCTTGGAAAAGGCTTGAGGCCCCAAGTATGAATCTCACACCCCTTTTTAGATGTTTTGAAACACTAAGAAGGAGATGGGGAGGTGGAGGGATGCCAGAACAAAAGTTGAAACAGTGAAAAGGCTGATACCGAAATTACTTAGGAACTTCAGTTTACCCACAATTTGTTCATACTCAGGTGGTTCCAAACATTTAAAGGGTTAGTTCCAACAAAAAAAAATTATTCTACCATTGTTTACTCTTGCTGTGGAAAAAAGTTCTCTTAAAAAAAAAAAAAGTCTCTTAGTCAAACTATTAAAAAATGACAAAGTCTGAGATCTCCGAAGTCCTTAGGCAAAGCAGTTTATTGTTACAGAATCAGTAACAACAGAGACAGGTCGTTCGAGAGTCTGCTGAACATAGGCTTTGCACACAGTTTAAATGGTAACACTTTACAATAAGGTTTATTAGTTAATGCATTTACTAACATGAACTAATCCTAAACAACACATGTACAGCATTTATTAATCATAAATGAACATTTACTAATGCATTATTAACATTCAAGTCCATACTTGTTAACATTAGTTAATGCACCATGAGTTAACATGAACTAACAATGAACTACTGTATTTTCATTAAGTTAACTAATATGAACAAATACAGTAGTAAATGTATTGTTCATTGTTTGTTCATTTTAGTAAATGCATTAATTAACATTAACTAATGAACCATATTGTAAAGTGTGACCGTTTAAATACATTTCTGTGTCCTAATACTCCACCCAAAATTTACAAATTACACACCTCTATCAGCTTCTCCGCTAATGGGATCTTAAATCTCAGGGTCTTTCAGGGGTCTTACCCATGTCTAGTTAAGGTCTTTCCTTCCTGTTTCAAAAGTGATGACTCAGCCAAAAAACAATGCTCACCAATATATCTTGTTTACTGTCCAGTGAGCACTGTCCACTTGAATTCATCAAGAAACAATGAATTCCCCAACACTCTGCCTCCACTTGCTTCAAACCTGTTTCAGTTTCTTTTTTTGTTGAATTTATAAGACAATCTTTTGAAAATGCCAGACACTGGTAACCATTAGCTACGTTTCCATTTTCAAAGAGGACAAAATCGTCACTTGCTGAAAAACTGGTGAAAATATACAGTCAAGCCCAAAACTGTTCATACCCCTGGCAAATTCTGCCTTAAAGTAGGGGTGTAAGAAATCAAGGTTGATCCTTGATTTGTACGGATTACAACCCATGGTATGGAACACACTCGGCCCGCAGATTTTATATATATTTTTTAACTAATATTTAAATCCTAATATTGTAACGATCACAGAGATATCGCCTCTCGCATAATTGAAATCACAAGCATGAAAGCATTTAGGCTTTTCTGTAAAATGTAATAACGGAAGAAGTTGTGGTAGGTTATTCAGGATATGGTGGGTTTCTTACGTTATTAAAGGTGTTTTCTGTCGCTAGTTTAGCCTGCATCACTGCATTCAGTGTTAACTGTACAATTAATCATTAAAAGATCAGGATGCCAAGACTCATTCATTCATTCATTTACTCTTCGGCTTAGTCTCCATTAATTCACCACAGCGGAATGAACGAGGCTCGGATCAGCAACCCAGTAACCTTCTTGCTGTGAGGCGACAGCACTACCTACTGCGGCACTGCGTCGCCCATGTCAAGACTAACATTACATAAATTATAAATGATAGTGACTTGCATGTGTTTATTATTCCTTCAAATAGCTGCATTCAAATCTGAAAACGCAAAAATCAAGAAAGAGACTGAGTCTTTAGTCTTAAGTTAGTTATGAAGTTACAAACAGTCAAATAACACAGAAATACTGAAATAGTGCTTTATAGTTTGGATAAACCACTGATGTTTATGTTAAAATCTCCATCATATGCAGTTAACAATGCCCAGAAATGAAAGTTGTATAGGCAGCAATGATGTTAGTTAACCAAAAGGTGGTGACAACAACCAGCCATTAAAAATATTCATTCATTCATTTTTCTTTCTTTTAGTCCCTTTTATTAATCTGGAGTCGCCACAGCAGAATGAATTGCTACTTATCCAGCATATGTTTTATGCAAGGGGTGCCCTTCCAGCAGCAACCCTTCAATGGGAAACACCCATACACACTTAATCACACACATACACTATGTTGAATTTTTTAGCTTACCCAATTCATATAGTGCATGTCTTTGGACTTGTGGAGGTAACCGGAGCACCCGGAGGAAACCCACACAAACACGGGGAGAACATGCAAACTCCACACAGAAATGCCAACAAACCCAGCCGAGGCTCGAACCAGCAACCTTCTTGCTGTGAGTGATACCCACTGCGCAACCATGTCATCCATAAAAAAATATGCCGCTGAATATTTCTTCAAAAATGACACATCTAGCAATGAAACATGAAGTTTTATGAGTGAATAACTGAATCATTTACTGAAAATGACACTAAAAATAAATACGAATTGTACAAATTACGACATTAGCTTTCTACATTTATCGTTATCAGCAACAGTAGTAGTAAATTTTTCCCAGTTTTGAATTTTTTACTATTTAATTTTTTGCAGATGATTATTTTTTTTGTTTGTTTTAAATAAAATTACAGGTTTTAAGTTCTGTTTGTTAAAATTGAAAGTGTCTTGCAGTGACCACTACCTGAAAGTATATGTTCAAATGTAAATAAAAGCTAATAAATATTTTTTTTTTCCACAATGATGCATCTTGTACATTGTCTTATTATCTTTTGGAAGACGCCAGTGTCATTTCCAGTTTTAAAAAAATAGGGGAGAGTGGGGACAGTTGCAACACTTTTTACATTTCCTTCAGTTTCTCAGAGTGAACCCAAAATCTTAATATAATAAACCACATCTATTGGACAAGAGCACAGGGATGGTTGCTACAACCCATAAGGACAGTTGGATTTTATTTGTAAAAAAAATGGGTAAACAGACTAAATGTAAATAGGATAAAATGTTAAATGTGTTAAATTGACCATATAAATACAGACTATCAAAAGAACAGGCAACAGCCAATAAATAGGGCCAAAATAAAAAATAAATAAAAAAACAACAAAAATATCTGAATCTTTACTAAACTGCTTCTTTGAACTTAATTTGAATTAATTCATTAATAAATAATTCATTCTTTCTCATTAAAAATACATTGAAACTGTAATTAAATTAAACATTTTTTGTACATTGTTAATATGGCAAGCTTTTAAATGAATTTTGTCATTCATTTTGTCACATGCTGTTGCAACTGCCCCAACTCTGTCAATCGTGATTAAACTGTCTATGCTATGTATATACACTAGCTTTACCGCTTGATAGCTACACCTATTTAAAGCTAATAAAACAGTGATTTAAATAATAAAAATGAATAATGTTTCAGAAAAAAACAGATTAAACAGTATGAGACATTTTCTGAACATTAAAAAAATACTTTTTTTTTTTTTTTTTACCTCAAAATGGGTTTTACCGAAGGAATAGTCACATATGGTTGATGTCTCTCAGATTGAAGGACGGTTTAACTGAAGATATGAATATCAACACCCTAGCTCAGTGGTTCTCAAACTGTGGTATATGTACGCAGGCTTCCTTCTAGTGCTATGCGGAGGAATCGCTGAATAATTCAAGTAAAAAAACTAACACACTTTTAACCCTTCGACACGTACGATAACAACGATGTGAGCAGGAAATTGATTTTAATAGGCTAAACTTTTTATTTTATTTTAATTTTTCTAATGTTTATTATGTATTCTATCATTTGAGGTTATTTTCCTTCCCTTGTAGCGGTTGAGGGTGTGTTTCATTTTTTTTTATATCCCAATGTTGACAGGTAGTTTAATCACTTGCTTCTCTGACATACATAGCCTACTCTAATGAGCAGTAAGCAGATCTAATTTCCAATTTAAATATGTAAGTCCAATTCATATATTTAAAATACAAGTTAATGTTTAGATTTCAAAGATATACAAATAAGTCAAATATACATGCAACATATTTTTCAAAATTTATCAAACAGAGTTATATATGAATATTATGACATACTGTATAACCAACACAATCTCACGGCAATTCGTAACTTTTTCATATACTGGCTAATTCGTATGAATTCGTATGATCTAATTCGTACAATTTAGTACGATTTGCTTATCCCCCAATGAGGGTTGGGGTTATGGGTGGGGTCAGGTGCCACGCCTCCTTTTTAAAATCGTACCATTTCGTACGACTGAACTCTTTAGTGGCTAATTCAACTCTGAATTAGCCACTAAACTGGCAAAACGTAAAATACTTACGTTTTCTCGTGAGATCAGGCTGGTATAACCTTTATTTATGTGGTCCAAGAAACATTTGCAGGTTTTAATGAATAGGCTACTTTCTAATAATACTTTACATTTTAGTACAGTAGTTTTCTTTTAACTTTTAAACAACAGAGCCATTTTCAAATAACTTTTAAAATCACATTTTAATTTAAATGTTGACGTTTGATCTTTCTTTTTTTTTTTTTTACCTGTAAGTGTATTAATATTATTAACTATTTATAATGTTTAAAGTGGCTGAAAATAATAATTATTCATAATAAGTAGAATTAATCTGCCACGTTTGTGAACTGTGCAGAGCGGTAGCCACTTAATTAGGCCTATTATGTATTTCATTACCAGTCATTATGGTGGTACTTGGACAGACTTTTTTTTCTGAGGTGGTACTTGGTGAAAACAGTTTGATAAACACTGCTCTAGCTCATTCCTGAATGGTGGAATGAGTCTTGTTGCAACTGACCCATGTTGCAACCCTTCCTACTCTCCCCTAAAAATAATTAAAAAAGGTCACTGGTTAAATAAAAGTAACATTAAGTCAGAATTTGCCAGGGCTGTGAGTAATTTCGCGCTTGACAGTATCAATTAGAATACAGTCAATTAATGTCTGTATTGATCAAAATCACATGATTCTGTTGATGCACTTGCTGGAATTTTTTCAGTAAATGTGTTTCTATCATGTAGTTTATCCACAGCTTTTAAAATATAGGATAAAAAGTGTATCCTACTTGTTGTAGTTTTGTAGTTATTCGTTATTTAGTTTTCTTAATAGTTTATAAAGTTGTTTTTTGCATTTTCAAAATATATGCACATCTTTCCATTATCGTTACAAGCATTGTTATGTAATATTCCAATCTGTGGGAATTATAGTAGGAAGAACAAATACGGAAGTGGAAACTTGCAGGCTTCATCCTTCAAAACATCATCTTTTGCATCCAGTGGAAGAAAGAAACTGAAACAGGTTTGAAACAATTGTGAATGTTGACAATTTTTCATTTTGGGTTAAACTAACCCTTTAATGACAATTTTTTTTTTCTTGTTTACTCATGTCAACACTAGAGGACACTCAGTGACTGCCATCTTGTACTAACAACTTCACCTGACGGGACAAAGACCTAATGTGATGGAGACCTGCCAGGCTGCTGTGCACAATTGCGATTTCATAACGCGACGACAAAATACTACAAAAGCAAACTCGCACACTATTTGCCATTTCCTTTGTTTGCACGTGCATTTGACTTCATCACTGTCTAGCCTACTTGTTTATTTAATGTGTTGTTGTATTTAGCAGTCATTTCGACAGCACGTTGATCACTCTATGGCTAAGTCCGCATTGATGCAGTAACAAAATCATATGACCGCGTCATAAATGCACCTAAACTTACACTTAATAACAACACCGCTTGCGTTTCCTTACATTCCTCAGCGTCTCGCGCTAAACTACGTCCCCGCACAGTCAGTGTTATGTAATGTTAGCGATAAAGATCACGGTGTACTTTACCCACGCTGGTCAGTGATGCTACTCACCCTCAAACGCCATGATGCTGTGTGTGAATGGGACGTGATGAGGTGCTGTGGAGAGAAGGTGTTTCCACGCTGAGAGGAGGGGAGGAGATGATGTACTGGCCCTGGGACAGACGTGATGCTGCGGCGCGCGCGCGACACCGACAAACTGTAAACTGTGGCAACGCGCAAAAGCTTTTATATCACCGATTTTACATATAAGTCTAAAATTATGAAATGCATATTTTCAACAGATCTGTGAAATCGGATCAATCACTAGATGCATAAAAAACAGATCAATCGGAAACAGATCAATCGGTTGATGCATAAAAAATAACTTTCATATTTTAATTAGCCTTTAATTTCCAATGCACTTCTTTTGAGTCAAATGTTGATGAAAGTCAAAAGGCATAACAATAATATTAAAATAATAATAATAATAATAGTTTTAATTATAATAATAAATTAACAATTGTCTAAAATATTATTTAAAATACTTTCTGTTGACTTTTGCCATGTAGTGCTTCACATTAATGTTCTGATTTATTTTATTACCGAATTATTTACTTATCGTTACTTTTAAAAGTAACATTTAGTATGTATTTACTTTGATCTCATATTATTTTTATTTATTAATTTATTTATATCATTTTTTTATTATTATTATTATTTTCTCAGTGGCTTTGGTGCATTTCTCACAACACTATTTACATTTGCACAACAGTTAATGCATTTCTCACATGATCACATTATAGTAGCAGTTTCTCATTCCTTCCGTCAACTTGCGAATGCTTTTGGACATGCATCAATTGCTTTCATACAACTCTCTGCTTTTTTATAAAATTATATTTTGCTTATGTCATGTCAGTCAAAATAACCTAAACTTGTGAATGCTGAATAGTCATACCATATAAAACTAATAGTCCTCATTTCATTACTTGAGTTATTACATACAAAAATGTTGAACTAGTTGTCAAAATCTGTCAAGCTAGTTTTATAAAAAATGTTTAATAATTTTTTCCTAAAAAAGGTTTTCTAAATGGAACAATTTTAATGAATGATTTACAGACCTATATATGTTGTAGGTTCAGTCACAATATGTCCTGCAATATTGTTTACAGTTGTGTACAGCTCTACCCAAAGGAGGTTAATGTTTGTTGTAAATAAGGCTGTATTTATTCTTTTGCACAATGCTGTGAATAAATTAGAATTGTAAAGAACAAATGCACAAAAAATGTGAAACATATTCAGTGTCTTATACTCGGATATCCTCACTAAATGCAGTAATGTCTAACTTTACAGTAGTTTTCAAATGGCTGTGCAAATATAGAATAGTGCTGTCTTGAGCATTTTCAGGAAGTGTCACCAAAATGTTTTGCATTGGAAAAAATGAACAGCGTAAACTGTCGTGATGAAAACATGACAACACCATTTGACTGTCTTGTTCATAAACAATGGTGTCAGGACTTTTTATCTTGATGACACAGATACTTTTGTTAACATCAATACTTGCTTTTGAGGAATGAACTATCCATTTTGAGCAAGTGACGCGCTTTTGCAGGTTATCAACTAGGTTTTGCAGTTTGTACTAATTGTTTTGAGAAATGCATTAACTGTTGTGCAACTGTAAATAGTGTTGTGAGAAATGCACCAACAGAACTGAGAAAAACTGTATGTGTATAGCTGTATATAAATATATATATATATATTTTTTTTCTTTTTTTCTATTATTATTATTTTTTATGTCTAAACTTTTCAGACCACTTGCATTCTGCTTCACCTCCTAGGGGTTTCCGGACTACAACTCCTGCCCTAGATGATTAGTTACTGGACCATTGACATTGCTAATGTGTAGTATGCACCCTCATGTAATTTTGTCAGAGATTTGTGTTATGCAGTCACTCTAAAAACTGCTGCCATTTAAGTAGGATTTAAATCCAGTCATTGGACACTGTCAATATAGGGCTCACTAAGTCACACTTGATGGTATTCTTTATAATGATAATAGTTCAAAAAATGATCAACAGCTGTTATTTGTCCTTTTGGCAGTGTTTTAAAGGCTGACTGAAACGAAGTTTCCTCAATTTTCTCAATTTAACAGAGAAAGGAATTTTTCACAGTATTTCCTTTTGGAAAAAAAAAAGTATAATTTGTTTTATTTAGAACTGAAAGACATTCCTTCATTCAAGACAATGAAGAGCACGTAAAATGACTTGAATCATAACATATTATGGGGCAACATTTTTATTGGGATGGAATAGTAAACATTGTTGTTAAAGTAAACATTGTTGACTTCCAAAAAAAAAAAAAAAAAAGGGGAGGACAGTATGCCATTGACAGATGTATAACAGGCTGTTATGTTGTAACTGTTGCCTGTCGTGTTTTTAGAAAGCAAATTCTACCTGTGCGCTTTGAAGGACAGGAAGATCTTTAGGAGGAAAATTGCTTTGGAACAGGATGACATTTATTTTCACAAGTGCTAGATAGAGCTTGAGATTCATTGCTTTCTAGTAATTAAATAATAACATCCCTAGTAAAACAGTGAATGCAGTGCAAAATAAAAGCCTCTGCTAAAACCCCGCACATATCATCTCTGTTCTTTTATGGAGTATTATGATGTCTTTAGGATACAGTATAGGCTAAATTGCTATCAAAAGTCACAGTTGATGTTGCTGAACATAAATTTCATCAGATCAAGCTGATCTTGTAACAGACAGTGTCTTTCTTTACAGTATGGAAGAGAAAAAGCTCAGTCAAAACTGGTTTGATCATCCAAATCAACAGCATGTTAGATCCTGTACCTGCCAAGTTATTAAAAGAGATGGGTCTTGGACTTGTACCTGGACTAGTCTAATCTAATAATAAATTATTATTATTATAATACATTATTGTTACTTAAGTCATTAATCATTATATAGTCATTACCTTAAGGATATGTTCCACAAAAACTGTTGTTAAAGAGATAGTTTAGGCTAAAAATTAACATTCTGTCATCATTAGACCTTCCACCCTTGACTTGACCCAAACCATTTTCTTCTTCTTCTTTTGAACACAAAACAAGAATGAAAAATGTTGGAAATATGGTCACAGATGGCTTCAATTGTATTTCTTTTTCCTACCATCCCAGCAGGCACAGGACTTCAACTTGATGTCAGATTGATGTTGTATACCCAAAATAGTGGGGATGTTGTATTTTTTTTGGAAATGGAAATTGGGTTAATGCCAGAACCCAACATCAGGCCAACGTCCAACATAAAATCAACCAAATATCAATGTCTAATGATACAGATTGACTATCAGATAGTATCTATCAGACGTTGTATTTTGGTTGCCATACCTGATAAATAAATGTTAGTAGTTGATGTCAACATGACGTTGCTTTAAGATGTTGGCTCGACATTGAATTTTGGTCACTTTCCAACAACTTAATATCAACAACATTGGATGTCAAATTAGCTTTGTCCTTAAAAGCTGTTGAATTTGAATTGAATTTTAGTCACCTGATGTCATGACCTATATCAAACCTAAAAATAACATCTTATGATGTTGTGTGCCTGCTGGGATGGACCTCAAGAGTCAAGGTTGAATAACTGATCAGAGAATAATATTGACACATTACAAATCTGTCTTTTCGATCATTTAGATGACACAGACCCCCTAAATATAATCATCCAAAATATTACTTGGAAAATATTTATTTATTTCTATTATGTTACATTACACTTCTATTTATTATTATAGATCTGCATTTGTTTATTTACGCATATATGCACTTATTTATTCTAATCTAAATTATGTAATATTTTTTTTTTATCTAATTTGTATTTATTTGCTTTAATCAAAACTTAATTTGTATTAGTTGTATGTTTTTGTCTTGATATACATTTTTATAATTGTAACCTAATAAGATCTTTATTTCTTGGCTTTTTATACTAAATACTGTGTTGTTAATCTTAAAAAAATGATTGTTTGTTTTATTTATTCTTATATTTTATTTATAAATTATGTGTTCATTTTGTCATTTTTTTTCATATGTTCGAACAACAGCTATAGAAGCGCTGTTCAGTTTCACCAAGATTATAGTTACATTGTCCATCAGAGTTAAACATTTAAACACAGCATAGCCTACTTAAAAAGGCAAACAAGGAAAAACATCCATGCTCACTGACACCGTTTATCTCAAGAGAGCACAAACCTCCTGCGTCAAACGGAGCGCCTCCTCCTGTGCTCAGCATCCAACCCGTACACATTTCCGCGATGTCGGATATCCAGCCCAGCCTCTAGGAAGTTCAACACACACTACTATTAACAGACCTCTCAAAAGCGCACAATGAGCGAAATAAAAACGACAGAAGTGGCTTCAGCTGATATAAAAGCAGCTCCGTCCGAAGAAAAAGACTGGGCGGCCGCTAAAGCGCATTATGAAAACTTGAAGTCTAAGAAACCGAGACCCGTAAGTAACGTAGCCTGATCTGTGAAGTTCAACAACACGACAGTTTGCGAAATAGTTGCTGACAGATGTTTGAGTTTAACTTGTGCTGTTTTTGAACGTGTCTTTAAACAGCCCAAGCCGAAAAATGCAGTCACTATCGCCGTTTCTTCCCGGACATTGTTTGACTTGACGGCGGAAAGGAAGATCTTTGAGGAAGAAGGTGTGGAGAAATATGTTCAACATCAGCAGGACAACGAGAACCAGCCCCTCAACCCAGGACCTGCCTTTCCTTTCGTCAAAGTGAGAATAACACTAATTAATAGTAAAGTATACCACAGCCACAAAACTGTGTCCATTAGACTTAATTTTTAACGTAGGCTATTTTCCCTTTATTTAAAAAGGTTATATCCTTTATATTGTAAATAAACATCATGACAATCAATGCCAGATGTGTCAGCTCTTCTGAGGGCCACATTCCTGCAGATTTGGGCATCAACTTAAAGGGATAGTTCACTCCCAATATTTACAGTTTTTCTCAGTCACTTTGGCGTGTTTCTCACAACACTAGTGAATTTTTGCACAACAGTTAATGCATTTCTCAAAGCAATTAGT